AACCATATATTCAAATGACACAGCTAAACTCTAAAGCAGCACAAACATATATTCAAATAACACAAACTCTAAAGCAGCACAAACATATATTCAAATAACACAAACTCTAAAGCAGCACAAACATATATTCAAATAACACAAACTCTAAAGCAGTACAAACATATATTCAAATAGCACAGTTAAACTCTAAATTAGTATAAACATATATTCAAATAACACAAACTCTAAAGCAGTACAAACATATATTCAAATAGCACAGTTAAACTCTAAATTAGTATAAACATATATTCAAATAACACAAACTCTAAAGCAGTACAAACATATATTCAAATAGCACAGTTAAACTCTAAATTAGTATAAACATATATTCAAATAGCACAGTTAAACTCTAAAGTATGACACTTTTGACCCACTTCAAAAAGGGGGCAGTGCTCCGATATCTATTTCTGACATGTAAGTGTAGACATGCTGTTATGATATCAAATCTTACAGCTTTAAATATAACAGCTACCGAAAACATCATGAATTTTAAGCTCCAAATTCTGAGTCAAACATACCTGCTTTATGCAATTAATACCTAGCATAAAAGTTGACTTAGTAAAGGCAACATATAAAGACATGAAATGTCAAGTTCGTCACTGCAATTTACGGCACTTTTCTAGATGTTTCTCTGATCTCATGGATATCACCAGTCAGGAACAACAACAAACATTAAACTATAGTCGGGCAGAAATTTTTTGCAGAATATTCAAGCTTTGTAGTAAGAATAACTGTAAGAACAATATTAGGATACAAATGTGTGGGCCCATTAGATACATACTGCAAAAAAAAAGACTTGAGTGAGTGCACCACAAAGATACAGGTCAAAGTGTGCTAAAGACTTTTACACTCTATCTTTAAAAAGGCACCACAAAGATACAAAACAAAGTGTGCTAAAGACTTTTACACTCTATCTTTGGAAAGACACCACAAAGATACAAAAAAAAGTGTGCTAAAGACTTTTACACTCTATCTTTGAAAAGACACCACAAAGATACAAAACAAAGTGTGCTAAAGACTTTTACACTCTATCTTTGAAAAGACACCACAAAGATACAAAACAAAGTGTGCTAAAGACTTGTACACCCTATCTTTGGAAAGACACCACAAAGATACAAGAGGAAGTGTGCTAAAGACTTAAGTGTGCTAAAGACTTTTTTACACCCTTTCTTTGAAAAGACACCACAAAGATACAAAACGAAGTGTGCTAAAGACTTTTACACCCTATCTTTGAAAAGGCACCACAAAGACACAAGATAAAGTGTGCTAAGACTTTTACACCCTATCTTTGAAATGACACCTGAACACGACCTTTCTGGAAAACTAAAGATAGCTGGTAAACCCAGAGATGTATCTGATAGTACACAATGATATGCAAATGGCACCAGCACTGAGATGCACACATGTGAATGTAAACACTAAAAGAGCACTGTTTAAAACAATATGCCTATAACAACGCTACACTATTAGTGTCAAACTTGGACACTGTCTTCAGAAGACAAAAAAAAAATGTGTTCAGGTATTATGCTAGGAGTAACAAGGAAATATTGACTTTGGAACGACATCAGAAGGACAGTCAAGACAGAACCAATTCTGAACTTTATTGGTAGAAACCAACAAATGATTTGGTCATGTAATGAGATTGGGATCAGACAAGGCACCACTGACAGCAATGTTTTACAGACACAGAGGTCAACTACGCAAAGGATGGCCCGCGGAAATATCGGAGACACTGAGAAGTACTATATATATATACAAAGCAAATAGAAGAGCCTGTTCCAGAGATCTCTTCCTGTTCTGACACAGCAAGACATTCCAGGAGTAGAGATAGAAAACTGGCAGCTGGTCTTTAGCAGAATATTTCTCATATCATAAAATGCTGGAGAGCCACCCACTACATTCTCCATCTTTCCATCACGCAAATGTTCATGCCATGGGCGTCACCGATATTTTGTGCCTCTATATTCAACCCCTGCCTAATCTTCTCGCACCCATACCTTCCACTACCATTCCTGGTGTGCTTCTGGCCATATTATCCAAATAGGATATCCCCAGCAGGCAAGCCACTATTGTATATTAACAGATGAATTTAACACCTTCTATAGAGTAATTGTCTGCGAACAAGCTTCGTGATGCTGGGGTGCTGGGTGCGATCCCAATCCCAGCCTTGCATTGATTTAAACAGTGGTATTGAAAAGCCGACCATTCAGAAGCAATGGCAAACTACTGGGAGTAGATTTGCCTGGAAGAACCACAACAGGCAAAAGATGCTGGGGTTGGTTCTGCAATGTCCTGTAAAGGATTACTCAACTTAACAGTCATTGTGGCAGCTGTTACTGCAGCTTATCAATACCTCAAACAAACTAATCCAGCAGTAAGGGAGCACAGCATCTAGACAGTTTTCAACAAACAGAGAAAAGATTAGCAGATTTTTCATCAGACTGCAACTGGCCATAGCATGAGAACTCTTCATTGGTTAGTGGGGAAGGGGAATGTATAAAGAGTCTCTTTAAAGGTTAAAGCTGTTGCCAATTATTGTCCATAAAGAAAACATTAGATCAGATCTTAGCCTATAACACTAAAAAAAACACTCTCCAAGTAGCAAAAGAACACATTCAATCCATTCAACATATATCTATTCTAATCTTCTAGTTCTCCTCCTTCTCTGTTCACTGGCTGTAAGCTCTAGCGAACAGTCCTGGTTGTCCGTCCATTCGGACTTTGCACCAGGGACTGAGTTGTGTGTGTACACCAGTTTTACTGGCTTATTTGTGTGCAGTTGGTTGTTCCTTGCTGCTCGAGCAGATGCACTCCGACTTCGAAGCAAGTCCTCATTTAGTCTGACTCTTACTACATGCTTGTTGGAAAGGCAGTGGGTCTATTCTTGTTTCCCCCAAAATGGGGCCCTGGAACTCGCATGGGGATTCATCTAATCAAAACCCAAAACAAACACCCTACATTCTGATTTAAATCAATACATTCATTTCATTTCTAATAATTCATTCTATTATTCTGAGTGAATACACAGAATATACATAATACACATTATTCAACCACCATATATTTGCATATAATTCAGCCCAGTGTACATTAAACCAAATTATTCAACATACTTTCTGCAATAACAGCAATTATTTCATTTCATTTCAAATAATTCACTGTATTATTCTAAATTTACACATAAAATGTTCAAAACTGAAGCTATTCAACCAAGATTTTCCATGAAAATCAGCACCAACTGCACTGTGAATTAAAAAAATGCACTTTCTGAAATGAATTCAAACTCATATCTAATAAATGATTCCACAGACATTTCACATAACCCCATCAACCAACAGTAACTTTCACAAACTATTCGGTATATGATTATGAATGACACCATGTTATGTACAATACAAATATCGGCAAATGTATTATCTATTGTACAATGATGGCCAACAATTCGAGACCACCCGGTAAATAACTGATATTTCCACACTATTATGGAATTGTCTGTATCAACTGTGTAGAACCATCACCACAGAAGGTTCAACCATGCACCTAATAAACATCCAGGTGGCAACAAACCACCAGACATGGAGGGCTATTATATCTGCCCTATGCACCATCCAAGGCTCAAGAGGAGAGATTAACTAACTGCCCATTTTAGGGGAGAAGGATGACTGCAATATGCTCTCAGTATGGAGAAACTGATCATTTACAATGTGGTTTCAAACCTTTGGCCACCCCTATATATGCCATTTGTAACAGTTATTAACAAAATGTTTGAACCAGTAAAGAATATCTACTTCTATAAATGAATTGTCTGACACCCTATCTCAATAACTACAGTCTGATATTTACAATGATAATGACAGGTAAACGCTAAGGTCAACTCTGGCATGACGTTAACCATACAACTGTTCAGAATTTTCTGTGAAACAAGTTTACACATGTCGGAGCAGATAGTTTGAACTCTGTGGTTAAGCTGCAGCCCTTGCTCAAAAGAGAATGAATGTGTTTAACAATTTCAAGACCCTTGAGCACTAGGGTTCAATACCTGCAGTGGACAGTTTGAAAAAAAGTACAAGAGCTGAATCATGGAACAGACTGCGGCCTCATCCCCATAATTTATTCCCAAAGACAGAAGTAATACAATGGAGAAATTATATTATTTTTTTTTTTAATTATTACCAATTAAAAGCAGCCCCATTGGAGAAAGTGTTGGCCAAACAGGCATTTATCTGTGAATAGAAACTTTTTTTTCAAAGTAATTTTATAGAAGGTTACAAAGCTGACACCTTTAGGAAGAAATTATCACTATGAAAATATACTGAGAGTGAGCTGCTTTCAAAGAGAACCTATCTAAAGATTGTTTTTGTTTTTAAATTGTGTGTCATCTACACAATGCAGCTTAGTTACAGGGCAGCTCATCCTGTATTTGGGAATATTCTATGGCAAAGATCCCAGCAGTAAACAGTTTGTCTTGTGTTGGCTTCGACAGTGGTACTGAGAGCTTACCGTTCAGCAAGCAATGGCAAACTATTGAATGTGAAACCTGCCTAGAAAAACCACAACCAAAAATTACTAAGGTTGGTTCCACAACATCCTGTAAAGGGATACACAACTAACATTTTTCGCATTACCTGTTTCCAGTATTTTGGGAGATCAAAAGACTGGCCTAGTGTTCATCTGCTGTCAAATAGGCAGACTTCACTAAAGGGTCTGTACACACAGACTTCATTACTGAATTGGGAGGACACAAACTCATTTTCACATATATGAAAATCTCGCAAACTTAAGATAATTATCACAGCTGAAATTCGTTGGCAAAATATACACACATGTGAATCATTTTCCCTTCATAAGAATTCAAGGGAATCATTTTATGGCAGATGACAAATCAGTTTCAGAAACTCATATTTATTCTGGAGTAGTTACAGGACTTTGACCAGATGCTTCCATCAACACCAGAAGGTGTGCTATTCAGATAGCAGCTGGCACAAAAGACTGTACCTGTTGTCGGCCGGCCTCATTTCCTCAACAGGAGTCTACAATAAAATAATATATATTTGTATAAGCATTTAATGAAAAAGAAAAGTTATATAAACAATAAAATGAAATATCCAGTATGAGAATGGAGGTGGAGGCAGCCTTCCAATAGCATGACAGCACCGCCAGACTTGTAATAAATTAACAGACTCACAGAACATGTTTCAGAAAACTGAAAATAGCATTCTGTGCACATAATGGCTTGCATCACTCAATAAGACTCAGATCAGTAGCATGTCATTTGTTTTCTCTGCGCTGGCTGCTTGAAGATGAGGATGGAGCATGCATGGGAATGCCCCGAGTGCTGTGATGTCAATTATTGACTCAACTCAACTCATCATTCCTCAGGGAATCTGAGTCATTTATATTGTCAGATTTAGGAACCAGAGAAATTAACACGGTTGGTGTTTGGTCTGCATAGAGCCTCATTTAACCGCTGGATTATACAGGACACATAGTTCACTCATGTCAAGCTTGTAAGGAAAAGGAAAGCTTATGACTTTGATGTAGATGTCATCAAATGTGAGATCTTAAAAATGTCAAAGACAAATCAACTAGCTACTCTCCTAAACTGAAGGCATCACAAAATTTGGGGCATACTCATAAATGTTCTATTCCAATCTTTAGCAGCCAGTGCTAGAAAGTTTCAATTCTGATGGTTCCAGTTGCAGTTGGATTGTAATTAATTTGACCTGCCGCCAGAGATGAGAAGTGTGAACTTGCTATCTTTAATCATTTAACTGTCTTTACTTTATTCTTTTCCCCTCACGTTTACCGGTTATTAATTACTGTGTGTAAAATTATCATTTAAGTATTTGAATGCCCAGATAACATCAGATGCAAGGTGTATTAAAAAAGTGTGAGGTAAAGTAGTTCAAGAAAAGGCAGCTTTTAAAAAAAAAAAATTTTTCTTTGCAATCTTTCTTTGTCAACTGAGGCAAGAACCACAATTCTTAAAAACTATAAAAATCCTATCCAAATATATGGAAGTGAATCATGGATAGACTGATGCAGATTAGTCAAAGATGATTTCAAAGCTGTAGAAATGTGGTTTTATAGACGAATGATGAGAATAATCTCAACAGATAAAAAGAGTAATGAAGATGTCCTGAAAGAAACTTACTCACAAAAAGAACTGATTGCCCACATCAGAAAGGGTCAATCTACATTCTTGAGTCATGTGATGAGGAGAAAACTGAAGTACATCATGAAAGTGGAAAAGAGGGAGGGGGAAGAGAGGCAGAAGGAGATCAAGAGAAAAGATGATGGACAGATTGACATTATGACATGAAAGACTATCAGTGTCAGAACTTACTGAAAGTAGAAAATAAGAAGGCTGTCGATAGACATGAATACCAACGCCACACACACGCATTGGACGATAAGAAAAAGAAGAGGTACAATTATCGTGGTTGAGTATGACATACCCTGGCTCCTGTCTGCACGATATTCACTTTTGGCACCTCAGCAATCTTGCCTGATGGTTGCACCATCAGTTTGATACTTCCTGTCACAGGTGTGGATGCATTTTGCACCGGCCTTAACAACTGGTTGCGAAAAAGACTTGTGGCTTTGACCTCAGCTCCTTCTGAGAGATCTGCAACCGCTAGGAGGGAAAAAACAACTTACATTCAAAACCATTTATTACAAAGTCCGGTTCTTTCCTGATATCCTACCCCAGATGACGTCACAGGACAGTCCAACATTTTAGAGGGTGGTAAGAATGGGTTTCCCAGCTTTCTGATGCTTTTAACAACCCCAAAACATGTAGAACTGGCCCTAAACCCAACCCACCTACTCCCACAAGAGAGTGCAGCCTAGGTCCCACAACAGCATGCAGCCTAAGTCCCACGACCGCATGCAGCCTATTTACCACCCTCTCAAATATCAGACTGCCCCGTGACCTCTGGATTTGCCCTGTCTGGGTTAGGATATTAATAAAGCACCCAAAGTCAACACACTAGGTCCTGCATGTTGACCAACATCCCCAACTGAGTACTGACTGTTCTACAAACTATAGGTCTAGCACTGTATGCCTGTAGGTGTTTAAGAGTTATCCTTGACTTGACTTTTACAATACACCAGGTTCATTTCTTCTTCTTCTGCCTTTATCCTCCACAGGAATTTCCACTTTAATGTAATCTAGCATGGAGCCATCCATGGTAGCGCAGCGATTAGATGTTTGCCTGCTGGGTGCCAAGGTCTTGGGTTCAAATCTACAATAAGGCAGATTCATTTCAAAAATTATGTTGGTTGCCAGGATAACCCAGCTTAAAATAGCTAGCATGTAATAACCTGGGAAGTAAAGGCAGCCACGGTTAGGCCAATTACCTCACCCAATTGGGCGACTGAGCTATAAAAATATTAGTCTGGCATCATAATAAGCCGTTATCTGACATTCTCTGAATATGCTGCCGCCATTTCAGTATATTAGTCTAATGACAGTTTCTTTAATGGCGTTCCACAATGGTCATATTGCCTCTTTAAATGTAACTCATGATTTTTCCTCATGGATTTTATTCTTCACTTCACATTATCTACCGTTAAACCTCCTAGTACAGAGAGAGTTAGGAGAGCCAATTCACACAGGGCAGCAGGTCACTGTGTTACTGTAAATGACAAACTGCATTTCTGGTGGTGACTCTTGGCTTTGGCACCTCTAGCAACTGCCACTGGCATTTACTGCATGCACCTAAATGTGGGTTGTTCCGGGCCTAACTGTTTGTCTGCCAGTATTTCAAATGAGACAGTGAATGGCATTTCATTTGATTTTCACTGGCACATGAACAGAGCAAGTATGGGGAAACCCGATAGCAGTGAAGTTGAAACCTCAACTAAAACTAAAGCAAAGACTGTAAAGTAAGTAGGTAAAAGAGCCTTTTTTCTGTCCTCAGACATATTGGGCACAGAGTGCTAGAACTATACTGTACAGACCCACTGGCACTAACTGGTGATATGGTCAACATCATCCATTCGCTTTTACTTCCCAGGACTTTACCTGGTACCCTTTTAGGGCTAGGTTTGCCTGGGAAACAAGGTCATTTTCGAAAAAAAAGTCAAGCTTCCTCAGCACCTGAACCCACGATCTTTGGATCTGAAAGCCAGCTTCTAGCTGCCGCAATATGGCAGCTCCTTCTTTGTTACTGTAAGGTGCCCTAAATTCACCGCTTTATATGGCTGAACACAGTATTTGGAATTAGATCCTTTTGGATTCACACTTTTCCCACTTTCTCACAAAAAAGGGTCGTTTGCACATTTTTGTGTGTGTGGTTTACAGCCAGGCTGCAATATCTGTGCCTCTTAGCCTAACACATCTGATTTCAGCCAATCCTTAATTAGTTGCTTTTCATGAGGTGCTTGTAAAGAAGAGTTGATCTATTCCTTACGTTTCCCTAATGGGTACCAGGAACCAATAGGGTGAGCCCTGAACCAATGAAGTGGCTCTTTGAATCACTGGGTGCCAATCTCTAAGGCTGCAATCGTGGCAATTTCATTTCTCTACCCATCTAAATTATTAATCACTGGGTACCAATGGTTAAGGCTGCAATCCTGGCGATTTCATTTCTCTACCCATCTAAATTATTAATCACTGGGTACCAATGGTTAAGGCTGCAATCCTGGTGATTTCTTTTCTCTATCTATCTAAACTGTCAATTATTGAGTGTAAATCGTTGAGGCAGCAATCCTGTGGATTTCATTTCTCTACCCATCTAAATTATCAGTCACTAGGTACCAATGGTTAAGGCTAAAATCCTGGTGATTTCATTTCTCTACCCATCAATATAGCCAATCACTGGGTGTAAATCGCTGAGGCAGCAATCCTAGGGATTTCATTTCTCTACCCATCTAAATTATCAATCATCCTTTCCCAACTGGCTTCTTCTTCTTATTCTATGTTCACCATTAAAGGAGTGGTCTGCACAAGGCATTCCATTTTACAGCTAGCCTGTGATATCAGCACCTTTTAACCTAACACATCCAATTTTAGAACAGTAATTAGTTGCTTTTTACATGGGGTGCGGCGGGGGGGGGGGGGGCGCAGTGGGTCTATTCTCAACCACCCCCACCAAACAGGACCCCGAAACCCACACAGGGAACCATCTGTCTAACATGTGTGAGCTTACCTGCTGCAGGTACAAGTTGTCCCGAGGCTGAAAGTCTCTTAAACTGCCTGTATCTGTGCTTGGCTTCGAGTCTTGTCTGAGTCACAGCTTGTGTTTCATGCGGGCTGCTTAGTGGTCCACCATGCTCCTTGGACATGTCATTGACTGTTGATGAGAACATCCAGTTTAACCCTCTCGCACTATTCACAAATCCTAAAGAATCTACAGTTTAACCCTCTCGCACTATTCACAAATCCTAAAGAATCTACAGGTTTATCCTCTCGCACTATTCAAAAATCTTAAAGAATCTACAGTTTAACCCTCTCACACTATATACAAATTTAAAATAAAAACTGAACAAAGAATTAAATGCCACAGCGTGCATGCGTGCACAGAAGAGGGAATCGTTTTAACCCCCCCCCAGCATGCTGTGTAAGTCGACTGATTAGGGGTTTTCCTTTGAAGTTGGGAATGCATCTGCCTGACAGAACAGGAAACCAGTCTGTAAAATAACTGCACATACAAAACTCAGGCTTTGAAACAGCCCCAAAGTCCAGAACTGGATGAAAAACCAGAACTTTCCCCCAGTTTACAGCAGTTAAATCTGAAGAATAACCAGTGTGCTTCTCTCTGTGTAGCTCTCTAGGCTACAGGATCATAGTCAACACATTTAATCATTTCTGGACATACAATAATGTGGTGGACAGCTTGGAAAAGAATTAAGTATCTGCACAAAATATTACCAAAACAGAGGACTGGGTCATCTCCTGTTGCTGGTGCTGTTTTTCTGAGCGAGCACTGCAGATGTTGCGCAGCTCCTGTTTCACGTACTCAGACGTGGACGAACTAGAGCTGCTCATGCCCATTTCATTGGAATGCCCTTTGCTGTAAAAAAAAAAAATATTTACATGACTATGAAAGACTACAACACTAATAGTCTCTGTCATTTTTCTCCTCCTGTTCTGTACCTTCATTGTCTCCTGCTAGCCTATTTTGTTTTCAAAACTATTGTCCGGCTAATAATTCTCTGACTACTGATAATACATGCCATTCTTGTTTGCGTAAACAAATTATATTCTTTCAAAATGACAGTAATTATAAATATGAAAACTATCGACAGTCATCATTCTCTGACCTCTGACAGTATTAAAAGTGTAATTAGATTACATTCTCACAACAGACAGTAATGATACTCTGACTACCGATAGTAATTATAACAGTATCACTGAAATACATTCTCATAATTCGCAGTTAAGATACTCTGACTATTGACAGCAATTATTATGTTATTATTAAATAACATTCTCACAATTCACAGTTAAGATACTCTGACTATTGACAGCAATTAGTATGGTATTTTTAATTACATTCTCACAATTCTCAGTTAAGATACTCTGACTATTGACAGCAATTAGTATGGTATTATTAAATTACATTCTCATAATTCACAGTTAAGATACTCTGACTATTGACAGCAATTATTTTGGTATTATTAAATTACATTCTCACAATTCACATAGCAATTATTATACTATTATTTAAAAAAATTATCACAGACGACGGTTCCGACTGCTGGAAATTAATGGTATTCTTACTGGTATTAAACATTTACAATTTTACTTCTGATGTAATGATTCTCTTACCAGCGAAATAATTCTCTGACTAGTGGCCATCACAATTCTCTGATTTAAAAAAAAAAATAGTAATGACTACTTGACTTCTTCTTCTTTTGTCAGCTTACTGATGCCATGTTGTAGCCTATTGTCGTGGTTTTCTGTATATGTCTTACACTTCTCGGATGGATTTAGTGTAACATGAACCTTCATGATATTATGTTTCCTGCCTACCCCCATTACCTCAGTTTTTGCGGTGTTTATTCTCATGTCATACTTTGAGCAGGTTTGATGTAAGAAGTCAATATGTTGTTGTAAATTCTGTATTTTTTTAATGGTGTATTAGACCTTGATCATCTGCAAAAAGAAGTTCAGTGATTTCTTCAGTGTCTGTATTTGCCTCCTATCTTATTCTATCCATGTAAGTAATGAATAAGAATGGTGAGAGGACACATCCCTGTCTGACACCTGATGAGATGAGAAACCAGTCTGTCATTCCTTCTGTTGTTTTTACTGTGCACTGACTGTGCCATGATGTTACCCAACAGCTGATCTTGAATACCATAATAATCATCTAGAATTTTCCATAGTTTGCATTTGTTTACTTAACTGAACAGCTTGTCTTTATCTATAAATATAACGTGTTGACTTCTATCATATTCATACTCTAACTGGTGACCATTAATTATAATTCTCTGGCTGGTGATATTAATGACTCTTTAACTAGGGACCATTACAGTTCTGAGACTGGTGCACAATAATGACTCTCTGACTAGTGACCATTAATTACAATTCTGAGACTGGTGACAATAATGACTCTGATTAGTGACCATTAATTACAATTCTGAGACTGGTGAATATGATGATACTCTGATGACCATTACAATTCTCTGAAGTGATAGTAATGACTTTCTGACTAGTGACCATTACGATCCTCTGGTGAACAGTAATGAATCTCTGACTAGTGACTATTATGATTCTGAGACTGTAGACAGTAATGACTCTCTTATTAGTGACCATTACAATTCTCTGACTGGTGACAATGACTCTGTGACTAGTGACCATTACAATTCTCTGACTGTTGACAATGACTCTGTGACTAGTGACCATTACAATTCTCTGAAGTGACAGTAATGACTCTGTGACTAGTTACCATTACAATTCTCTGACTGGTGAACAGTAATGACTCTCTGACTAGTGACCATTATGATTCTGAGACTGGTGACAATGACTCTCTGACTAGTGACCATTAATTCTCTGACTGGTGACAATGACTCTCTGACTAGTGACCATTAATTCTCTGACTGGTGACAATGACTCTCTGACTAGTGACCATTATGATTCTGAGACTGGTGACAATGACTCTCTGACTAGTGACCATTAGTTCTGAGACTGGTGACGACTTTCTGACTAGTGACCATTAATTCTGAGACTGGTGACAATAATGACTCTCTGACTAGTGACCATTAATTCTGAGACTGGTGACCATTACAACTCTCAGACTATTGAACATTATGATTCACAGACTGGCGACAGCAACCATTCTCTGACAGAACTTACTTCTCCATGGAATTCATTGCTGTATCAATCAGCTGCCGCTCAAATTCTTGCAGGGCGGTGGCTGTGGACTGGGACATTGTGCTGCTTGGACTAAAAGTACTCATGCCAGAGGATACAGCAGTTCCCCCTTGAAATGTGTTTGGACTCGCAGAAATCCTGCCTGAATTTCCAAACCCAGCAGACAATTGGACCTGGTTAAACTGTGAGTTGACCTGGATAGAATAAACGGACTAATACTTTACAGGAACATGGACCTCAAAAAACAAAAACAAAAACAACAAAAAAGTGTGAGAAGCAGATACCCACCCCCCGGCCCCAGAGCCCAAAAGGTGATATAACCTGATGTCATCAAAGGAATTCAATAACTAGTGCTACCCTTCAAGTTCTGGACCATAAACTATTGCTGCTCATGAAATGTGAGATACTGTAAGACAATGTAAGATAGTGTACGATATTGCAAAATAGTGTACTTTGCTGTAAGACTGTGTGTGATACTGTAAGATATTGCAAGGTACTGTAAAACACTGAATGATACTATGAGACATTGTAAGATATTTTATGATATTGTAAGATATTGTACGATGCTATAAGATATTGAACAATATTGTAAGATACTGTATGATACTGTATGATATTATAAGAACACAGTGCACTCAATACATCTGCCCTGTCCATACATCTTCCTCCACCAAAACACTGCAGACACAGACTGGAATAAACTCAATGGCAATAGCTGATGCTAATGATGGTTATATGATTATAGTAGCAGTGGTATTTTTCTTACACTCCAGTAACATTTCTTTCTACTGTTTTATGCTCGCTGGTCTGTATCAGTGATGCTTCATGCATTGCTTTTTTTTTATTTAGAGCTGTTGTTACAGAACTTCAAGCTTCTATAACTGCCTAGATGTTACAAAACGTCAAGCTTCTTTCATCGCCTAAATGTAACAACATTTCAAGCTTCTATAACTGCCTAGATGTTACAAAACGTCAAGCTTCTTTCACTGCCTAGATGTTACAACAATTCAAGCTTCTATCATTGCCTAGATGTTGCAACACTTCAAGCTTCTATCACTGCCTAGATGTTACAGAACTTCAAGCTTCTATCATTGCCTAGATGTTACAACACTTCAAGCTTCTTTCACTGCCTAGATGTTACAAAACGTCAAGCTTCTTTCACTGCCTAGATGTTACAACACTTCAAGCTTCTTTCACTGCCTAGATGTTGCAACACTTCAAGCTTCTTTCACTGCCTAGATGTTACAACACTTCAAGCTTCTTTCACTGCCTAGATGTTACAACACTTCAAGCTTCTTTCACTGCCTAGATGTTGCAACACTTCAAGCTTCTTTCACTGCCTAGATGTTACAACACTTCAAGCTTCTTTCACTGCCTAGATGTTACAACACTTCAAGCTTCTTTCACTGCCTAGATGTTGCAACACTTCAAGCTTCTTTCACTGCCTAGATGTTACAACACTTCAAGCTTCTATCACTGCCTAGATGTTACAGAACTTCAAGCTTCTATCATTGCCTAGATGTTACAGAACTTCAAGCTTCTATCATTGCCTAGATGTTACAGAACTTCAAGCTTCTATCATTGCCTAGATGTTACAGAACTTCAAGCTTCTATCATTGCCTAGATGTTACAGAACTTCAAGCTTCTATCATTGCCTAGATGTTACAGAACTTCAAGCTTCTTTCATCAATGTAACATTTCAAGCTTCTATAACTGCTTAGATGTTACAAAACTTCAAGCTTCTTTCATCAATGTAACATTTCAAGCTTCTATAACTGCTTAGATGTTACAAAACTTCAAGTTTCTTTCACTGCCTAGATGTTAGAACACTTCAAGCTTCTATCACTGCCTAAATGTGACAATATTTCAAGCTTCTATCACTGCCTAAATGTGACAATATTTCAAGCTTCTATCACTGCCTAAATGTGACAATATTTCAAGCTTCTATCACTGCCTAAATGTTGCAACACTTCAAGCTTCTATCATTGCCTAGATGTTGCAACACTTCAAGCTTCTATCACTGCCTAGCTGTTGCAACACTTCAAGCTTCTATCATTGCCTAGATGTTGCAACACTTCAAGCTTTTATCATTGCCTAGATGTTGCAACACTTCAAGGTTCTATCATTGCCTAGATGTTGCAACTCTTCAAGCTTCTATCATTGCCTAGATGTTGCAACACTTCAAGGTTCTATCATTGCCTAGATGTTGCAACTCTTCAAGCTTCTATCACTGCCTAGATGTTACAACACTTCAAGCTTCTATCACTGCCTATATGTTACAACACTTCAAGCTTCTATCATTGCCTAGATGTTACAACACTTCAAGCTTCTATCATTGCCTAGATGTTACAACACTTCAAGCTTCTATCATTGCCTAGATGTTACAACACTTCACGCTTCTATCATTGCCTAGATGTTACAACACTTCAAGCTTCTATCACTGCCTAGATGTTACAACACTTTAAGCTTCTATCATTGCCTAGATGTTACAACACTTCAAGCTTCTATCACTGCCTAGATGTTACAACACTTCAAGCTTCTATCATTGCCTAGATGTTACAACACTTCACGCTTCTATCATTGCCTAGATGTTACAACACTTCAAGCTTCTATCACTGCCTAGATGTTACAACACTTCAAGCTTCTATCATTGCCTAGATGTTACAACACTTCACGCTTCTATCATTGCCTAGATGTTACAACACTTCACGCTTCTATCATTGCCTAGATGTTACAACACTTCACGCTTCTATCATTGCCTAGATGTTACAACACTTCACGCTTCTATCATTGCCTAGATGTTACAACACTTCACGCTTCTATCATTGCCTAGATGTTACAACACTTCAAGCTTCTATCACTGCCTAGATGTTACAACACTTCAAGCTTCTATCATTGCCTAGATGTTGCAACACTTCAAGCTTCTATCATTGCCTAGATGTTGCAAGATTCTATCACTGCAAGGGGGAAAATGCTTTTTGTTTTTTAATACTGAATAATGTTACTGAACCAGGATAATACAACAAAACTTCTAGTCTATATACCTGGATGCCAGCTTGCTGCTGCTGCTGTTGTTGTTGTTGTCGCATGTTTGAACTGGGAGACACAACACTTTGTGGAGACAGCAGAGGATCTGAAGGACTAGAGCTGTATGGACTGTTTGGTGTCCTTGGTGATCCATGACCTGAGGAAACTGTAATTGATGAATTTTAAACTTCTGTTCTACAAGGTCCTTTACTTATTGGTTACAAAAACGATATTGATATCTTCACATTCTAATGGTAGAACATCATCATCATCATCATCTGCAACCTTCGTGTACCATACAAAATTACTATCGGCACTTGTAGCAGTGCTGCAGGGCCTGTGCAGCTGCATATGCTATCCCACATACAACTTTTGTAATTAACAACATCACATGGGGTTTACATTGGATTCCTCCACTCATCTCTGTTGCAAGTAACTCCCTCAATTTATGACAGTGAGTTCAGCCTTTTTAGGTTCCCGTAATGTTTTTTTTTTAATGTTTTCCTTGGGCGTCCTTTTTTTTCCAGACTGTTTGTTTCCCATTTCCCTGCTTGTTTTGAAATTCTGTGCTCACTGCATCTCAGAGTATGCCCAATATATCCACCTTTTTTGTCTTACTGAAGCTGATGCAGGTATTTATCCAGACATTTCTCTGCTCTCCTCACTTTTTTAAATTCATCTCATTTTATGTTCATGATTTTTCCCCTACATTTATTTTTCAAATGTATTTAACTTTCATTCCAAATCTTTGGTAGTTCTCCAACTTTTACTGGCACATGTTAGAAGTTAAATAGTGCTAGAACTGAAGATTCGTAGTTTACTGGTGCATTCCTGGAAATGAAGAGCCTGCCACCTAAACAAAGAACTGCCGAAGACTATTCAGTAACTTACAGTTGGGTTCAGGTTAATGAGAAGTATCTTTCCTTGTCTGTTTATGTGTTTCCCTTCACCGGCTGTAAACTTCAGTAGAAAGTCTTGGTTGTTCATCCATTGATGGATTTTGGCTTTTGTGAACATGACTTTTGGGTCCATCTGTTCTACAGATCTGGCTTATTTATATGCAGTCTGCTGGTTCTTTGCCTTTCTGGCAGATGCACTCAGTCACAATAAATTCAGCACCTTTCTCCTCACACAGTGATGATCCATTTGTGCCTACTCACTGTTCACTCACTCCAAAGCATTCATTTATCACCACGTATTGCAGAACCAGCCAGTCTATCTGCCTGTTCATTTTCCAACACATCAACATGACCTGGAGACAATTTCCAAAGGCCACTCTATTTAAAAGAGAGAGAAAAAATAATAACAGTACAAACTCACCAGATGGCATTCTATGTATGATTCTTGACTGCTGATACTGTCCCTGGCCTCCTTGCTTCAGCTGTTGCTGCTGAGGTTGCGATGGTGAGAACAAGCCAGTCATTTGCAGTGTGCTGCCGGTATTACCGTTCACAGCATTAGATGAATTACCCAGCTGTCCAGCTTCGTTTAGCTGTATGCGGTGCTGCTGTTGTTGCTGCTGCTGCTGCTTCTGCTGTTGTAGCTGACTGCCGGGGCTCGGTAGGGAGTTGCTTGCTAGAGACCTCTGCTGGTTCAAGTTGGGTGAGAACTGATTACCCTGGGGAAGAAGTTTGTGAAATTGAGCAAAGACATTTATCTGTAGGTTACACAGATCAGATAGCCTGGCATCACTGTAGGTTACACAGATCAGATAGCCTGGCATCACTGTAGGTTACACAGATCAGATAGCCTGGCATCATTGTAGGTTACACAGATCAGATAGCCTGGCATCACTGTAGGTTACACAGATCAGATAGCCTGGCATCACTGTAGGTTACACAGATCAGACAGCCTGGCATCACTGTAGGTTACACAGATCAGAGAGCCTGGCATCACTGTAGGTTACACAGATCAGATAGCCTGGCATCACTGTAGGTTACACAGATCAGATAGCCTGGCATCACTGTAGGTTACACAGATCAGATAGCCTGGCATCACTGTAGGTTACACAGATCAGATAGCCTAGCATCACTGTAGGTTACACAGATCAGATAGCCTGGCATCACTGTAGGTTACACAGATCAGATAGCCTGGCATCACTGTAGGTTACACAGATCAGACAGCCTGGCATCACTGTAGGTTACACAGATCAGATAGCCTGGCATCACTGTAGGTTACACAGATCAGATAGCCTGGCATCACTGTAGGTTACACAGATCAGATAGCCTAGCATCACTGAAGGTTACACAGATCAGATAGCCTAGCATCACTGTAGGTTACACAGATCAGATAGCCTGGCATCACTGTAGGTTACACAGATCAGATAGCCTAGCATCACTGTAGGTTACACAGATCAGATAGCCTGGCATCACTGTAGGTTACACAGATCAGATAGCCTGGCATCACTGTAGGTTACACAGATCAGACAGCCTGGCATCACTGTAGGTTACACAGATCAGATAGCCTGGCATCACTGTAGGTTACACAGATCAGATAGCCTAGCATCACTGTAGGTTACACAGATCAGATAGCCTAGCATCACTAAAGCTTGTGAATTTTATTTCAAACAGAAAAGAAGAAGGGATCAGAAATGCAATGACTTGATAAATACGATTCATCCTGAAGTATAGAGTGAATGTGATGTATGATGTGAACATTATAGAGTGAATGTGATGTATGATGTGAGAACATTATAGAGTGAATGTGATGTATGATGTGAACATTATGGAGTGAATGTGATGCATGGTGTGAACATTATGAAGTGAAAGTGATGGTATGATGTGAACATTATAGTGAATGTGATGTATGATGTGTACATTATGGAGTGAATGTGATGTATGGTGTTAATATTATGGAGTGAATTTGAAGCATGGTGTGAACATTATGAAGTGAAAGTGACGCTATGATGTGAAGTATGGTGTGAACATTATAGAGTGAATTTGATTTTTGGCATGAAAATGTATGGAGTGAATGTGATGCATGGTGTGAGCATTATGAAGTGAAAGTAACGGTATGATGTGCACATTATGGAGTGAATGTGATGTATGGTGTGGACATGTATGGAGTGAATGTGATTATGGTGTAAACATGTATGGAGTGAATGTGACATATGATGTGAACATGTACGGAGTGAATGTGATGTATGGTGTGAACATGTATGGTGTAAACTTGTATGGAGTGAATGTGACTGTATGATGTGAACATTATGGAGTGAATGTGATTGTGTGACGTGAACATTATGGAGTGAATGTGACTGTATGATGTGAACATTATGGAGTGAATGTGAAGGATCCTGTGGACATGTATGGAGTGAATGTGATAGATTATGTGAACATTATGGAGTGAATTTGATCGTATGATGTTAATATGAAGGGAGTGAATGTGATGGATGATGTGAACATTGTGGCGTGAATTTGATTTTATGTGAGTATGTATGGTGCCGATATGATTTTTAACAATGAGACGACTGGCTTCACACCACCACATACTATCCTACATGGCTCAATCGACTCTCTACATGGCAAAACAAAAACTCAAATATGATCATTGTAATACGATTCGGACTGACAGCTAAATGACTAAATAGCTCTCACTATCTTCTTCTTGGGCACTAATGTGTACACAGTAAAATCCGTTACTGGTTTGCCAGAAATGTTTTGATGCATTTTTAACAGCCCACTATTTTCCCTCATGAAAATTTGTTCTAATATGAATACAGATTACAGACAATTATTTAACATCAACATTTTTCTAATATGAATACAGATTACAGACAATTATTTAACATCAACATTGTTCTAATATGAATACAGATTACAGACAATTATTTAACATCAACATTTTTCTAATATGAATACAGATTACAGACAATTATTTAACATGAAAATTTTTCTAAAATAGAATACAGATTACAGACAATTATTTAACATGAATATTTCCTATGTCAGTTCAGGGCTTCATTTTTGAAAGTCAAAGTGCATCTGCCTGAGAGGGGAGGAACCAACAGTCTGCATACATAAAAGCCACATCTGTAAAGTTGATGTGTGCATGAAACTCAAGTTCTAGAACGAGATCAAATTCCAGAAGTGTGTTAACAACCAGAACCTTCTGCTGGAGTTTACAGCTGGTGAATGCGAAGAAGAAGACAAAGATGAGAAGGAGGGGGAGGTTGAAGAGGAGGAGGAGAAAGAAGAGGAAGAGAAAGAAGAAGGAAAGAAGAGAAAGAAGAAGAGGAGGAGGAGGAAGAGGAAGAAGAAGAAGAAGAAGGAAAAGAAGAAGAAGAAGGGGAAGAGGGAGAGGAAGAGGAGGAAGAAGGAGGAAAAAGAAGAAGAAGAAGAAGAAGAAGAAGAAGAAGAAGAAGAAGAAGAAGAAGAAGAAGAAGAAGAAGAAGAAGAAGAAGAAGAAGAAGAAGAAAAAAGAAGAAGAAGAGGAGGAGAAGAAGAAAACGAAGAAGAAAAAGAAGAAAAGGAGGAGGAAGAAAAAGAAGATGAAGAAGAATAAGAATACACACAAAAACACACACACACGCACGCACGCACGCATACATACCTACATACATACATACACTCATACACACGCTCTAAAACACACACGCATACAATCCAGCCACACAACATGCAGTCCGGGCACACACTTTACGGGGACAATACACACACGCAGGCAGGGAAACAGAGATGAAGTGAAGTAGAAGAAGAAGAAGAAGAAGAAGAAGAAGAAGAAGAAGAAGAAGAAGAAGAAGAAGAAGAAGAAGAAGAAGAAGAAGAAGAAGAAGAAGAAGAAGAAGAAGAAGGAGGAGGAGGAGTAAAAGGAGTATTTAACATAATCTTTGTACAATTAACTATTCTTGTTACACGATGTCTGCTTCAGCATTGTGAATAGTTCAGTGCCAATAGTCTTCTTCATTAGTATGGTGTCTGAGCTAACAAGAAGGTTAAACATGTACGCTAAATTTAAATTTATCTAGGCTAAACATAGAAGAATAAAATGACCCATTATAGAAAAAAAAAAGTTTAGAATTCTAAAATATTACTAGGGAATGGTAGTAACATCAAAGACAAATAAATTACAGGGGATTGTTGGTAACAAAGAAAAGAAAAACAAAACAAAGTTTCATGGGATTAACTAGTAAAGGATCATTGTTTATTTCTCTGGTTATGGTAACAGGGTGTTTGTTATTGGCACCTCTCCACCTTTGCAGTTGTTATACTATTATACTATGCAGAAGGGAGGCATTGGAACCAGATAGTGAGTGCGGGTGGGAAGAACTGCTTGCAACAAGAAACACTTTCCACAACTAGAGCATAAGATTTCGGGACCACCGTTGTTGCTAGTGCATGTATATACTTAGTTCTGGGACATATTCAACAATGAGGGGAAAATAAGTCAGAATATTCACCAGGATGCAGCTGTTACTATTAGCAGTTCCACTCTTGGTTCGCTACTGAAGAAGGGGATGGAGCGCGTGTGGAAATGTCTCGAGTGCAGTGATGTCGATTCTTGATTCATTACGTAATTCATTCAACTTGCTTCTTTTCAGAGGCTCAGCCCTTAGCATATTGGCATCATTTGCCTCTTTACTTCTATTCCATTTCTGATTTTCCGATCCTACACATCATGGTCCATAGCACCCTGTCACCTCAAATCCATCTGAAAACCTGTATCATTCATGTCCTGTCCCACCTGCACACATCTTTACATTATAGGAAAGGACCCCTAAATCGTCTACCCATCTGCAAAACTCGCTCCTAAGGGACTCTACTATCCTCCATGTGTGTCCCAATATAGAAAATTTGAAGCAATAAAACGAAAAAACTAAAGCAATAAAGGCATGGAAAACTTTACACAATTGGGGGGAAAAAACACTGAAGACTTAAGAGGAAGTTAGTTACCTGCAGTCCTAGAGGTTCTGATGGGCCTTGAACTCTTAGATGCCAGGTGCCTCCTGACCCAGACTGAGGGGTTAAGTGGGGGGACAGTTGGCTAGTTTGAGGGGAAGGTAAACTGAAGCGGGGAGACATAGGGCCAGGTATACCTTGACCTCGCTAAAGGCAAAAAAAAATACAAGGGGAGGGCAACCAAACAGATTAAAAATGAGGAAAGTGAAATTAAACGTGGTGGTATGATTAAAAACAAAACATGGTGTGAGTTAAACACAAATTTTAAAAATAAAAATTGGGTAAATAAATTCATCGTCTACAACATTTTGCTAGTTATTATATCAAGCTACATGCATAAATTGATAGGTGCTGTAATCTGTGATTGATATCTTGCTTAATTTCTCTTCTTCTTCCGTTTCCTGGCTGTAAACTCTGACGTAAAGTTATGGGTGTTCGTCCACTTCTGGACTTTAGTCTTGCTCCAGAGCCTGAGTGCTGTGTGCACACCCATTTCACAGATCTGGCTGATTTGTTTGCACGACTTATGGTTTCTTGCCTCTCAGGCAAATGTACTCTGACTTCGAAGGATATCCCCAATTAGTCAACTCCTACGACATGCTTGTTAGACAGGCAGTGGATCTATTCTTATTTTCCCCAAACAAGGGCCCCGGAACCTGCACAGGGTTTGCTTATTTTAACTAATGGTGTTTCCTGCTTCTGAGGAATGCAGGTGTGCCATCTATCTCCTCGCGGCTGATACCTGGAACATTTGGCACCCAGAGATCAGAAGATCTTAATCCGTTTAAATTCACTGTCTAGCTCCCTTTTCCATATTTTCTGTTGTTGTTTTGTTTCAGGGGTTACAGAGGGGGTTACAGAGCAAAGACATTCTAGTTATATGGTTGCCATGCTTTCTCAATGTGTCTCCTATCCTACGCCAGCGTCCTTTTTCACCTTTTCATCCACTGGAATTTGTTTATTTCTCTCCCAAAGCTCATGACAACACTGATGCTGCATGAGGGGTAGAGAAAACAAACAAGCACCAGAAGTGGAAACACTATCTTCTTCGTGTTCTCCAGCTGTAAACTCTGGCGGAAAGTTCTAGTTGTTCATCCACTTCTGGACTGCAGTCCTGTTCCATTTTACAGATCTGACTCATTTGTCTGCAGACGGCTGGTTCCTTGCCTCTCAGGCAGATGCACTCCGACTTTGAAGGAAGCTCCCAATTAGTCGACACTTACGATACGCTTTTGGGTAGGCAGTGGGTTTATTCTTGTTTTTCCTATAACTGGACCCCGGAACTCACAAGGGGTGGAAACACTATAACAATGAAAAGAAATTATGACCCTTCTACAATGGAGGTTGGCTGCAACATATTCAATGCTAACTGTGGGTTGCAATGTGGTGAACCCCCGATCTCCTCCACACAGTGCAACTTTTGTAACCCTGTCTGAAAGCCACAAAAACGGTCTGTATCTGAACCACCCACAATGGGAACTGAACCCAGGTAAACATTAGGGAACTGTATTGTGAAACGATTTCACTAACCTCTAAGCAACAAAGCTGCCCTCTAACAATAAAGAAAAATGAAATAAAAGATCTTGTTTTAACAAAAAGTGGCATGCAAGATGCACAAGTGATTTGCAAAATGAATAATAACAGTTATTTAAACTGAAATAATATTTAATTAAAATTGTTTTTCTAATAACAGCAATGATGACTTCAGGCTACTTCTAGTCGCATTCGTTAACTATAACTAAACAACTAAATGGAGAAATCTACAGACTGAAAACACACCTGTACAGACAATGTCACGTTAGGAGGGTGTCCCTGGGTCATCAACTCCCTCAGGTTGTCAAGGAAGGGTGGCTGTGTAACTGTGGTCCCATCAGACGTAGGCAGAACAGTCTTGAGAAGGTATAAAGAACAAACAAGAAATTAGTTTCAATGAAACAGATAAGTTGTGGCCTAATTCAAGAAATAACACACAAACAATGTGGGTGTATTTACAAGAATGTATGGTTAAAATCAAAGAAAAAGTCTATCACTGAAATCATAGAAAAAGTTTATCATTCAAATCAAAGATAAGGTCCGTGATTCAAATCAATGATAAAGTCCACCATTTAAATCACATATAAAGTCTACTATTCAAATCACAGGTAAGGTCCCATCATTCAAATCACATATAAGGTCCATCATTCAAATAACAGTTACGGTTCACCATTCAAATTACACATTCAATCCTTCATTAAAACCAAAGATAAGGTCCAACACACTTATTCAAACTACAGATAAGGTCCAAAGTATGTATCATAAGTAACAAACCCTGAGTCAGACAGGCATGTTGACTTGGTCAATAAATGCCCAAATTGGCCAGGTGTGTTGGCCAAAAGGTACAAATATCAGTTCCACTGAAAAACAGACACAATATAGCTGTGTCTCAAAACAAAAAAGTACCAAGCAAATGAAGAACAGCTCTTTTTTGCAGCAGCTCTGGAAATAATTCTACTTGTGTCTTATCAATAATTCCACAAACACAATAAAAACTTAGTTGACCTTTTCTGGCCAGATTGTGAGAAAAACTGGAACAAGTTGCAACAATTGAAAAGATTTATGAAAAGTGAAACAGACAAATTTTTGCCAGCTTTTTATCATGGCATGGAAAAGTTAGTAGCTGACAGATCATCCTCCTTGCCCATCAAACTTTTCAGTCCACAAGTGCTAGGATTCCCTCCTCCGTGAATCCGGCGGTGTGCAGCGGCTGATCACACTAGTTCTATGCTTCCTTACTCTTCTTCTTTGGCTTCCGGTACAGTGCTCATCTGGCCTTGCCCATTTTCAATTGCTGTTTTTTTTAGTCTGGTCGCGGCTGCAGATTAGTTATCACCTGATTCTCGCAAATATCTTACTTCCTGTAGAGCATTCAGAATATCAGCCTGGACCGGCTCGTTAGCCTTACCTGCAAGCCTATAACCTTGTTCATTTCCTTTTACACTGCATGCCCTGGCATGATCATAAAACTGATTTGATTTCTGTCACCTGTGACTGTCTTAAAAATGTCAACCACTGCCTTCGGACCCAGCCCATTTCTATCTTCTTGAGCATACACAATGAGTCCCTAAGAAGGCAGTTATATTTGTATAACCATTATGTTTACACTGCGTACTGGATACAACATATTATTAACACACGCTACACAACTAACTCGGAAGGTCGTGGGTTCGCTCCATAGCAGAACCGGACTTCTTTTTCAAAAATGACCTCGACTCCAAGGTCCACCCAGCTATGAGTGGGTACCGGGTGCAGTCCCGGGAAGTAAAGGCAGCCAGTGTGATGCTGACCACATCACCCATCTTGTGCCATTTGGTCTACAAAAATATAGGTCTCGCCTTATATGCGCTATACGCCTAAAGGCGCGGAAGGGTCCTTTACTTATCCTTTTTTTTAAAACGCAACTAACAAGAGTCAGGAAACCCCATCTAACGCCTCTATGCAATACTTCACGGCCCAAGCAGCAGGATAGAAAAAGCACAAAAATGATTACCCAAAGAACCTACCTGGTTAAACCTCTGACTGAAAACCTGGCCTAAACCTTGAAGCTGCTGTTGCTGCAACTGCAAACTTTTCTGCTGGCGCTCCCTCGTCTGCTTCTGCTTGTCATTCTGCCGATGCCTTTGCTGGTACAAAATAGTCTGCCGTACATTAAATGCAGGTTTGTTTGTGCCAGATTGTAAGACTGGGGTGCCACTTTGTAAAGCAGTTGCAAGTGGACCTGGAATACACACAATATGAAGATTTATATCTCTGGTTGCAACATAATTACTGAATTATTTTTTTGCATTTCATTACCTCATAATAAATGCATGTATTTACCACTTTTGTGGTAGGGGGGGGGGGGGGGGGAGGTCTTTGAGCCTGAGGATTCAGAGCTACATGGTAAGTACAGTGCCCATAGAGTATCCAGGCTATGATTTCACTTTCCCCTCTAACAGAAAAAAAAAAAAAAAACAAGACCTTATGGATGATTCAACTGGGTCTCCTGCAACGCAAGCCAAACGCTCTTTACCCTTTCACCAGCTGCTACCTTGTGAATTTCAATTACAAACTGACAGCCTTTTATTGCTAACTGCCTAACCTGATGATGTTTGACTACCGTCAAACTTCTCCATCCAATTTTTTGAAACAGTATATAAGAATAACAACCATTATGTAGCAGGTCCTTTGCCAATAACACAGCCTGCCAGAATGCCATTCGGTAATCTGTCAACTGTTCTGCCGAATAAATTTGTATTTTCAGGGTGTCCTTCACATCCTGTGTCCACCGTTGTGCAGGTCGACCCTGCCTCTTTTTTTCCAGAAACTATGTCTCCTTTTTCTTAGTGTTCACTGACTGTAAAGTCCAGCAGAATGTTCTGGTTGTTCTTCCACTTCTGGATCTTTGTCCTGCCTAGACATGTTTTATTAATATATGGTGTTTTTTGTGTGTATGCAGTCACCTTTTACCACATGCCCCACAGGCCAACCCCAAACAGAGCCAAGACACACCTTCTATAACCGTTTTCTCTACCCCACTATGATATATATATATATATATATATATACACATACATACACAAACACATATATATGTGTGTGTGTGTGTATATATACACACACATATGTATACACACACACATATATACAGAGTACACCCTTGTTAGGATGAATTCGCTTAAGAAGAATATTTGATTAACATGAACACAATTTTGGTCCCTGTAAGGACGCACCGTCTCCGGCTAGCACATGTTTCTTTAACACAAACTCTTGATTGTTTGGGTACTATTGTGGTGTATAGCAGACAGATGCTCGCCTGCAGATTCAAAGGTTTTGGGCTCAGGTTGTGTTGGAGCTAGTCTTTTAAAAGAAATGATCTTGACTTTCAGGTCATTTAGCCTTAAATGGGTACCAGGTAAATTCATGGAAAGTAAAGGTGGTCAGTGTTATGTTGATGACATCACAAACTGAGTGCTGATTGGTCTATAAAATATAGGTCTAGTCATGTTTGCCTAATATGCCTGAAGGCATGAAAAAAGGGTCCTTTATTTGATTTTCCGGTCCATTGGAATTCGTGTTAACGAGTTTTACTGTATATGGGTATGATGTTCTTAAATAAGCTCATCTATTTCAGTTTTATAACACTAATAGCTCCTGGTATACAATTCCCTTAAACAAAAATAATAGAAGATAACCTCTAGGTGCAGAAAATCCTGGCTGCTGCTGCTGCTGCTGTAGGTGTTGCTTCTGCTGTGGCCGCAGTCCTGGGATCCCTGAAGTGTAAGCACTAGGAGATCCCTCTACAAGACCTTGAACACTAGTGTTATAGGCAGGTGCATCTTGACCTGGCCCCTTGGAAAGCTGACTGTGCTGCTGCTGCTGCTGAACCTGTTGCTGCTGCTGTTGTAGGGCTAAACTTGCTTGGATATGCTGCTGGACAGCATACTGAAAAATAACAGTTAAATTCTTAGACATAAGAAGAACACTTATTAAAAATTGTCAAATACTTGATACTCTTGACATCAATAACATAAATACTGGCTGGTTTAAAGTCAAAATGGCATAGCTACTGTAATTTCTTTAGTACTAACTTTGCCTAGTTTATTACTGTGTATGATCACAACTCTTCTTTTTATATATATTTCTTCATTTTTATTACAATCGCAGCATCTTCCTCTATGTATCAATACATGAATTGACATATGACAAGGCAGATGTGGTCAAGGCCTTTTGGGAACAAGCAAAGGAATCAGTAGAGAAACAAGATTATTATATCCTGGGGAGAATGAGGCACCTGGGTGTAACCAGAGGGTCTGGCCGGCTCACTACACTCAGAGGAAAGGCAAGACGGGCAAATAACCAGACTGTGACCGGTACCATCAGTATTAGAACTCTGCGCTGGCTGCTAAAGATGAGGAAAGAGCTGACAGACTGGCAGGTTCTGGATTAGTTACATATGGCCAGCCTATGGATCGTGTCGACATTGTTAATGCCCTTACAGAGATAGGATGACCCTAGGATAACAAGAGCAATGTGTGCACTCACTGCCAAGAACACAAAAATTGGGAGTAAAGACTAGCACAGCCAAGCATGAGAAGTACACCAGACATACAAGAAGTCTTGTTAACCAGCACAGGACTGGCACTATTAACTAAGCAGTGCTGTTGTATATGCTGAAGAGGGAACTGAGCACCCATGCTCATACAAACTAAGTAAAGTTTGGTTAAATGGAACATGTTGGGTCAAAAGGCAGAGATATTCACAATGTGCCAATCACCCTTTTATTGGTTGTCTGTCATGCGTTGAAGTACACCTGTTCTTGCAGGAAGGTGTTGTTATTTGGAGGTGGCAAGTTCGAGTGCCAGCATGGTAATTATAGCTTCAGATTTGTATGCTGTCTAATGTGTCCTTCTAGCTCTACTTCCATCTATGAATGCCTATCAATACATGTCTATTTGTTTATTATATATACCCTCGTCCTAAGGGTGAACTGAAAAAGAGGAACTTTACCAGTGACAAACATAATGTTTTGTTTCTCCACAGTTCTTCTCTATTCAAATGACAACCTTGCAATATCTATATCTACATATTGCTGATAAAATGTAGGGGAGTAAAGAGAGAAAATACATTTAGTTTCTCACCATGTTTTTTTGTATGAGGAAACACAACTTTTTTTTTTTAATAACAAAAATAAAACTTAGTCAGTTCCAGTTCCACTCTATAAAGTAAAAGTAACTTAGTACCTTGGGGGTGGAGAAAAATAATGAGTAAGGGAAAAAATACACAAACACAAAGAAGAATACAGAAAAACACACACACTCGTGCGTGCGTGCTTGTGTTAAAATAGCAAATTCAGTAGAACTTCTGTTCCTACAGTGAATCAATTCAAAATATCAATGAATAAATGAATCAAGAATTGACAACCGTGCAGTCTAAACATTCCCACATCTGGTCTTTTCCCCTTCCTCAGCAGCCAATGAAAAGAATATCTTTGTGTAATTTAATCAATTCCTTTTTTTTTTTTAATATATTTTTTTTTTCAAGTTAGTAAAGAACTCTTTTCCTGCCAGTGGCACATCAGGCATACGATGCAAGACAGATCGGCATTCAATGGGTGATGTGGTCAACATCACATCGACCTCCTTTACTTCCCAGGACTTTACCAGTTACTTTATTTATTTAGCCTGGGCTGATTAAGGAACCAAGGTCATTTTTGGAAACAATTTGACTCGATACAGATAGGAACTCATGACCTTTGAGCTGGCAGGCGAGCACCTAGCCGCTACACATCAGCTCCATTTCATCAATTCTAAATACTACTACATGGGTGAATCAAGTTTAAACACCACTATATGTGTGAATCGGTTATAAATACCAAATGGGTGAATCGATTCTAAATACTACTATATGCGTAAATCAATTCTAAATACTACTATATGGTTGAATCAATTCTAAATGCCACTGTATGGGTGAATCAACACTAAAGACCACTATATGGGCGAATCAATTATAAGTACTACTATATGGGTTAATCAATTCTAAACACCACTATATGGGTTAATCAATTTTAACACCACTATATGGGTGAATCAATTCAAAATACCACTAAATGTGTGAATTAAATCTAATCAACACTATATGGGTGAATTAATTTTAAATACCTGAAAACATACATAAATTATTTGACTATGTCATGAAACAGATGCAAATCACAGACAACAGTTGGGGGAAAGAAAAAAAACTTACTTGCAGAGCCTGTCGATTGGTCACAGCTCCACTGCTATCTATAACTTCTTCATTCATTGGTGGCTGCTGTTGATGAAGCGAGATCAAAGGATCCTCGCTCATGAGCCTTCTCTTGATGTCATCAATCACAAGCTGTTCATTGGACTGGTCCTGCTGGGAATGATTGACACTCGGCACCAAGTTATCCAAATTAGGCCAGTTGCCAGTTTCTCTGTAAATCTCTTCCAGCTGAGCTACCACGTTGGACTCATCGTCCAGGTCCATGTCTGCTACTGGTTGCTGATGCTGCTGGTGCTGAGTGTTCTGCTGAGACGATGAAGATGTAGAAGACGGCGGCAGCTGGGTGGGAATCAAAGATAACTGTGATGATGACGATGATGTGGTGGATGAAGGTTGCTGTGGGGAGGGCAAAAACTGTTCATGCTGTTGCTGTTCTTGTTGCTGTAGAGTTAGCAAGTCATTGCTGCGAGATTTCTGCTGGATTTGTTGCACAGACATATTACTGTTTACAGACATTTGAGAAAGCTGGTTTTGTCTCTGCTGCAACAGCTGTTGCTGTAAAAGTCTTTGACTGGACAAGAGTTGAAGTCTATCTTGATGCTGTTGTTGCTGCTGCTGTTGTTGCTGCTGTAACTGTTGCTGCTGTTGTAACTGCTGTTGCTGATGTAACTGCTGTTGCTGTTGTAACTGCTGTTGCTGTTGTAACTGTTGTAATTGTTGCTGCTGTTGTAACTGTTGCTGTTGTTGTAATGGATTCAGTCTTATTTGCACAGAAGGTCGACTTGTTGAGCTCAATGCCTGGACAATAGAACTAACAGTCGATAAATTTGCGGTCAAATCAGACACAACACTGGTGTCACTGCTACTACCCATTCTAGAAAACGATGCACCTTGTGAAGGGATTTGATTTATTCCAGAATTACCCGCCCGATTCTTTTGCAGATCTTCTTGTAGGTCTGCCGCCTGCTGCAGGATCTGCTGAAACAGCTGATCATTCTCAGAAAAGTCACTGGGTCCATGCTCAGCCGAAGAGTCTGCCATTAAAGAGTCACTGCTGAACAAAACTTCCTCACTCTCTAACAGACGCTGGAACTGGCTGATCTGACTCTCTGTGGACATTGGATCAAGTGTATTCATACTAGTCACTGTACCCAACTCCGACTGACTATTCAAATAGCCTCCATTCAGAAAATTTGGCATAGTGGTATTATTACTAGTATTATTATTATTACTGTTTAGTGTGACACTGCCAGGTGTACTCGACTTTGGTGCAACATCTGTACTGGACATTCTCCCAAGGAACTTCATCCCTAAGCTTTTCTCCGTGGTACCAACAATATTTCCCAAAGCTATATTTTCCACTCTTTCTGCGGCTGATTTGATGCTGATAACCCTGTTGATGAGATCTGGTGGGTAACGGTTCTGAGGAACCCCAGTTGGGCTTATAGAAATGTTGGTGTTGATGACAGTTTCCTTTTTAGCCTTTCTGCTCAGCAGTTGTGCTAAAAGTGCGTTTGTTTGGGACAGCTTGCTCTGCTGTGTGTTTGGCACAACGGATGAAGTACTGGGTTCCATGTCCGTGTTAACACCATCACTACTATCTACATCTGAGACAGACATCTTTCTGCGTTTGCCATTGTTGTTGATGATGCTGCTACTGTTGATGCTGCTGATGTTGATGCTGCTGATGTTACTGCTGGTTGGCGCCTGGCTTTGTTTTTGCTTGGGAGAGTAGTCATCTTTTAGCCACAGTGTGTGCAACAGTCTGAAACAGAGTTTTCAACATTAAAATTGCTAGCAATAGTTTTAATAATGATAGAACTAGTTTTAGGAGTTGTATACATAAATGGTTGGCGTCTGTGGCTTATGCGTTGTAAACAAGCTTCATAATGACGGGGTGCCAGGTTCGATGCCAACTGCAGGCTCTGCGCCAGTGGTATCGAAAAGCTGACCGTACAGAAAGCCATGGCAAATAACTGGACGTAATTTGCCTAGAAAAACACAACAGCAAAAAATGCTGGGGTTGGTTCAGCAACGTCCTGTAAAGGATACGCAACTAACTTATAAACTAATGAATCAAGAATTGAATTCACTGCACTCTGGACTCCACATTCCCATATGTGCTCTGTCCCCTTCTTCAGTAGCTAACATGCTAAGCGTACAAGCTGCTTCCTGATTAGAAGTCTACCTGTTTTTATCTCAATGTTGAATACCTTTCAGTTCCCTTGACCCCCCCCCCCCCCCCCCCCCCCCCCCCCCCCAAACACATGTTTAATTAGTCTTTCAATGTATGGATTCTCTGTTTTATTGCACTGCCCATTTGATCCCAGAGAGCCTTCACCACTTTCATTTTAACATAAAGTAGCTCACCGCCCAGAGGAGCAACGACAGCAGTTATTCTATCAGCCCGTTTGTTACCTCGCACATCTGAATGTCCTGGACAAAAAATTCCATGATATGCTCCTGTTCTGATTCTTATCAAGTGATGCAAGCCATTCCACACACAGGACAGCAGTTTTAATTTTCCGAAGCAAGCCGTGTGAGTTTATTGCAATTACACCATGTTGGGCTGTGCTGCTCTGAAGCCATCAAAAAGCTGCAGTGACTGCCTCCACCTCCAATCTCACAATGAATGTAGTGACACTGTACGCAATATTCTGTTCCCAAACAGTGTCCATTCACCTTTGCACTTAATAAGAGTTGTAAAGACGAGCAGAGATAACAATGAAAATTATTCATACTAGCAGTTACAGTAAATGGAATTATAAAGATAATGGCTAACTACAGAAACTTTGAAGATGAGCGGTGCCAACCAACAAAGGTTTTAAAGGAAAATGGTGCTAACAAAACAATTTGCTTTTAAAACATTAGCAGTCCTAGCAGCAATAAGATTGATTTCTGAAGGATTTTTTTTTTTTTTTTTGGGGTGGTAATAATTTGTCTCAGTAGTGTGAACTCTGCTATGAGGTCAGGAATACCGGAAACAGTAGGCTGCCCACTCAGAGTGCCATGTGACAGAACAGCATTTACAACAAAAACTGAGAGAGACACACAGAGGGTGCAGAAGACCAAAAACAGGATAAAATATGACACCACAGAAATGTGACACTACAGCAGTATGTCAAGGTGACCAGAAGAACAAGAAGCAGAACCTTATAGTTGCCTGAAAACCTAAAGAGGATATGAAAGATAATAATAATAATAATAATGTAAACAAGGTCTATTATATCAGACCATATTTATATTTATTAATGCTTCGGCCTCTTCATTTCAGTTACTCTCTTAAGAACCCATCCAGGTCATGACATCATGTGTCAAGCTCACATTATGTATTGAAATTGCGCATCTAAACCATGTATGTTAGCTTCAAGATAAGTGTCCACCGCTGACTAAAATACTCCCCCTATTTCACAGCTATATGTCATTAGTTAACAGCCATCCTGACTACGGGAAATTAACCTTGCCTCTGAGGCTGGCCTAACCTACAATGGGGATTGATAGAATATGAAAAAGCTTTACTTACTGCCAGCATGAAAGGGAACATCATGCACTCAGTGCATCACGATCACATTCTTCTCATGACAACTTTTCACCTGGCAGAAAGATAGTCAACTCCCAATCCCCCTCCACCAAACCTCAATTAACACCTCTGTGATATAAACAACTGCCTCCAACTCCCAATCCCCCTCCACCAAACCTTATTTAACACCTCTGTGATATAAACAACTGCCTCCAACTCCCAATCCCCCTCCACCAAACCTTATTTAACACCTCTGTGATATAAACAACTGCCTCCAACTCCCAATCCCCCTCCACCAAACCTTATTTAACACCTCTGTGATATAAACAACTGCCTCCAACTCCCAATCCCCCTCCACCAAACCTCAATTAGCACCTCTGTGATATAAACAACTGCCTCCAACTCCCAATCCCCCTCCACCAAACCTCAATTAACACCTCTGTGATATAAACAACTGCCTCCAACTCCCAATCCCCCTCCACCAAACCTCAACTAGCACTCCCTGTGATATAACCCCCTCCACTCCCAAACCACCAAACCTCAATTAACACCTCTGTGATATAAACAACTGCCTCCAACTCCCAATCCCCTTCCACCAAACCTCAATTAGCACCTCTGTGATATAAACAACTGCCTCCAACTCCCAATCCCCCTCCACCAAACCTCAATTAGCACCTCTGTGATATAAACAACTGCCTCCAACTCCCAATCCCCCTCCACCAAACCTCAATTAGCACCTCTGTGATATAAACAACTGCCTCTAATTACATTAGACACAACACAAAACTACATATTTTAATTAACGGAAATTTGTTCACTCACTCATCAAAATTTTCACTGCTTTTATTGATCCACTCCTGCACACCCGCTCCTGGCTTGCTTGTCTCCAGGGATGAGAGGGATGACGAGGTCGACTGAGGTTCCTGATGTTCTGACTGATGTCTCGATCTGATAGTCACACTGGCATCTACTTCAGCAGACGTGCTCTCCTGCAACAGAGAAGATAATGAAGTTAACAATGAAAAAAATGATACATGGCAGCAAATAATGATATATATATATATATATATATATATATATATATATATATATATATATATATATATATATATATATATATATATATATATATATATATATATATATATATATATATATATGCTTTATTGACGTGCCTTTCTGTCAGTCAGAGAAGGCTGCAGGAGTGATAGGAAGAGACAATATCAAAAATGAGGTCATACAAGAAAATGTTGGCATGGAACCAATTGTTAATCACATACAAAGACAGCAAGTAAAATGGTTTGTCCAGTAAGAGGGAATGCCTTGTAACACCCTTCAATACAGGGCATACACCAAAAGAAGAAATGGGCGAATAGCAAAAGGTAGACCAAAAACTATGTGGAAAGATAACCTCAGAGAAACTCTATAACAACACAATGTGTCTATGGTCGATACAGTCAGAAGTGCAAGAAGCTCTTATATCTCCCTTGATAACCAAAGAAAGAAAAAAAGGAAGTGAAAAAGAAAAATAACCAGATGTCTTGATGACAGGTCATGGACAGGACAAGATGTCTTGATGACAGGGCATGGACAGGACAAGATGTCTTGATGACAGGGCATGGACAGGACAAGATGTCTTGATGACAGGGCATGGACAGGACAAGATGTCTTGATGACAGGGCATGGACAGGACAAGATGTCTTGATGACAGGGCATGGACAGGACAAGATGTCTTGATGACAGGGCATGGACAGGACAAGATGTCGTGATGACAGGACATGGACAGGACAAGATGTCTTGATGACAGGACATGGACAGGACAAGATGTCTTGATAACAGGGCATGGACAGGACAAGATGTCTTGATAACAGGGCATGGACAGGACAAGATGTCTTGATGACAGGTCATGGACAGGACAAGATGTCTTGATGACAGGGCATGGACAGGACAAGATGTCTTGATAACAGGGCATGGACAGGACAAGATGTCTTGATAACAGGGCATGGACAGGACAAGATGTCTTGATGACAGGTCATGGACAGGACAAGATGTCTTGATGACAGGGCATGGACAGGACAAGATGTCTTGATGACAGGGCATGGACAGGACAAGATGTCTTGATGACAGGGCATGGACAGGACAAGATGTCTTGATGACAGGACATGGACAGGACAAGATGTCTTGATGACAGGGCATGGACAGGACAAGATGTCTTGATGACAGGGCATGGACAGGACAAGATGTCTTGATGACAGGACATGGAACAGACAAGATGTCTTGATGACAGGGCATGGACAGGACAAGATGTCTTGATGACAGGGCATGAACAGGACAAGATGTCTTGATGACAGGGCATGGATAAGACAAGATGTCTTGATAACAGGACATGGATAGGACAAGATGTCTTGATGACAGGTCATGGACAGGACAAGATGTCTTGATGACAGGGCATGGACAGGACAAGATGTCTTGATGACAGGGCATGGACAGGACAAGATGTCTTGATGGCAGGGCATGGACAGGACAAGATGTCTTGATGACAGGGCATGGACAGGACAAGATGTCTTGATGACAGGGCATGGACAGGACAAGATGTCTTGATGACAGGGCATGGACAGGACAAGATGTCGTGATGACAGGACATGGACAGGACAAGATGTCGTGATGACAGGGCATGGACAGGACAAGATGTCTTGATGACAGGGCATGGACAGGACAAGATGTCTTGATGACAGGGCATGGACAGGACAAGATGTCTTGATGACAGGACAAGATGTCTTGATGACAGGGCATGGACAGGACAAGATGTCTTGATACAGACAAGATGTTTTGATATAACAGCATGAAGGATTAGACTGCAAGCCCTATGTGACATATAAGGGCACACCAGGATAATGAATAAATAAATGAAAGCTCGACAATACAGGAAACAATTCAAACCACCAGGGAAGGCTAACCTCAATAATAAGTGCCTGAAGCAGCTGGATGTGTCAGCAGAAAAGTGCAAATATCACAGCCATGCTGTAAACGGGCAAAACAGATTTGGGTCCTCAGGTGAACGCAGAAGAAGCATAATAACAAGAATAATTCAAATCTGCATACATACATGAACTACAAATGTCTAAATATTCTTTCTTTGGGTACACTCCATAATTTTGAAAGTGTACCCAAATCTCAGTGAATTCTAGTGAGTTAAGAGGTGAGGAAAAGATGCTAATGCTGAACAGGGCCAAGACTGAGAAGATCTGGTAACAGTATAACTAGATGTCTTTGCTCCAGTACCCGCAGAGTCAAGGAAATAAAGGCAGATTTTTTTTTCTTTAAAGCACATGAGGAAGGGAATTGGAGCGTGAAGGGAAAATAACTGGTAGGTCAAAAGGTGAACTGCACACAAAAGCAATGAATAGGAGAATTTTTCATGAGGGCCTGTTTTCTTCCTGAGTGACTGTGAGATAGTCCACAACTCACATCTGTGGGCTGCCACAGGGAAGGTGCAGGCTCTCACAATTTTAACTTTGATTTCTTTGCTGGTGCTTAACCATAGAACTTCAATGCTGCAAAATTAAATATATAAGCCTGCGAAGATGACTTAAAAACATGTTACATAGCTGCTGAAACAAATAATCCACAATAAGCAAATAACACAGAAGTAATCATAATTATGCTATCTATCTTACACAAATAGGCTGCCATTTGACTTATACATTTATTGTTACACCTCTTAGTAATGAAACTCAACTAACCCTTTCATGATTAAGGTTTCCTCAGGGTCAAGTTTGAAGATAACCTTTCAATGTTGCACCAAACTTGCTGGCTGTTTATACCTCTTACATAAAATAGAGATAACGAAACCATGGCCTGGTTACATCCATGCTTTTGTCACATGATGAAACACCACTGTCGTCTTGAGCCTAACCCCTCTGTCCCAAGAAGCTGCAAAACCAACTATTCCGGCATGGTCCAATTCCATGTAAATGTTACCTTTCTGACATGTCTAGTGACTTGTTTATTAGATATTTAGTCAAAGCTATTATCTGTTTTTGCACCCATTCAAATGTTTAGGTCAGGATATAGAAACATTAAAAAAAAACAGCCTTTACCGGGTTTTACACCAAAAGCCAAATTGATGTAAACAAATTTCCCGTAAGCCTCAAAGGGTCAGTGGAAAAGTCACCTGATTAATATGTTCTTTTAGTTCCTGTGGAATATTTACCATTCAGTGCTTAAGTCTGTTCTTGTTTATTAACTACTTCCGTCATATATTTGTTATTTATTTAAAAGAAAAATCTAAAAAATGTAGATGAAAATGTTTACATAATTCATGAGTGACATGTGTATAAAAAAAAATATTAAAAAAAAAATAAAAAGTGTTTTAAAGGAATTTTTTTTAGGGATTCCAAAAGTCAAGAAAAAATTTTTTTTTTAAGTGTTCCAAGGGTGAGAGTGTTAACGAGCTATTTTATCTCTTCTAATAGTCCCATTTTAAGAGAATTAAGTATTTCATGGCATATCAGCTGTAACAGGGAAAATGAATTTTTAACTGATAAGAAAAGATAAGGTTTAAAGCAGAGAGAAGATTAACTTCAATGCACTAGGCTTTATTCCCATCTCGAGTTATCCATCTCCACAAAATAGCTCCAGCAATCTTTACAACTTCCAACTGCTAAGCAATTTGTTTTTTAAAGTGCCACAGATTCCCCTAGCTATTTTCCCTTAAACAGCTACCCTAGGAATTTTCTTATTCTTCTTACCTCAAAACCTAATCAATGAGCTGAATTCAGTAAAGAACTGCAGTGAAGTTCATACTAGAGACAACATTGCAGATACACATAATTTATTTCAAGCGAACGAAAGAAGAAGAAGTAAAGAACCAAAAACACACACTCAGGACATTCGTTAAAAGTGCTCCGGTCCCAACTTAAGCAGCTACTGAGGAGTATCGATTTTGATAATACCAGTTTTGGTTGGGGAGTCGCCGTGGCAGCGGCTGGACGCATGCATCGGATTGGAAGATTTTGGGTTCACATCCCTGGCGGAGCTGGACTTTTCTTCAAAAATGATTTTGGCCTCCAGGGCGACCCAACCTTGAGTGGGTACCGGGTGCAGTCCCGTGAAGTAGAGGCGCCCGACGTGATGCTGACCACATCCTCTTTCTTGTGCCATTGGTCTATAAAATATAGTTGTAGCCCTATATGCCATATACGCCTAAAGGCGTGGAAAAGGGTCCTTTATTTTTTTTTCAAACAGTATTGGTTGTATATATGTCTTGCCATTCTTCTGAGTGCTGTGTCCTTTAGATTCCCTTGCTTGAACATTCTGTCCAGACCCTGAAGATCTATTTCTGCTTCTGTGGTGCTGTTTCTTTTTCTTCTTCTCTTCCACCTTGTACCTCAGCAAAATGTCGAGGGGGAGATGTAACATTCGTTGATGAGCTCTGACAAAGAGCACTATTAGGACTGATGTTCATTTCTGTAAGGCTGTCACTCCATCTTTTCTGCAGTCTTTCACTCGCTCTATACCTGTGGTAACATTTCAGTGTGGCTCGCTGTGGCGGTTAGTTACTCAGATTTATTATACTCACAAATATCCAAAGCATGATCTGTGTGGCCATCTCAGCTAAAATTAATGCCACATTTTTAAACCATTCTTGTCTTCTGGTTCATCGCTGGTTGGTAAGAATTTTCTATACTTGTCTGTGCAAGAAGGGGACCATAGTGTAGTGTAGCGGTTAGGCATTCGCCCGCCCGCCAGCCAAAAGGTCTAGTACGTAAATCTGCATGGAGTGAATTTTACTTGTACCATCTGAATCTGAACTCTGACTGCTGTCTGCTGTAGAAGATGGGATGCACCGTTTATGGAAATGTCCCGAGTGCTATGAATTCAATTCTTCAATTCAACACTGAACAAATCCGCATCTACCCCCCCCCCCCCCCCCAACCAGGATGAGACTGTAGAGGCTGTGTTGAATACCTCACCCATTGAGTGCAGATTTAACTGACATCTTCAACATTAATGGTGACAGGTTACAAGAAAATGGCATGCTTATTTTAATGTTGATACTTTTTTAAAGGTTTTTATTTGAAACCCACTTGAATATGTGTTAAGAATCTCAATGACCTTACACAGTCAACTTGACAAAACTGCCTTTTTAATTTGCTCCAATAACTACATCCAAAACAAAAATTAACGTAATAAAGTTTTTTTTTTTTTTTTAAATTACTTACAGCAGGTGCCGAGGTTGTAATGTTTAGCTTGGGCACACTATCAGCATCATCATCTTCATCGAGCAAATGTTGCAGCAACTCTCGGCCATTGCTGACTTTCCTCTTTTTCGTGACGATGACGGAATCAGCCACAGCTGTAGTTGTAGTAATGGATGGATTGCAGGTGGCAGGCGTCATAGCCCTGTGGTAGGAAGGAGAAGCTCTCACTGTATGCCCAGTTATTTCCTGGCGTATTCTTTCCGTGAGCTCCTTCTGTTGGTTTTTATCTGGGTTGCCATTCTGCTCCCCCAAAAGTTGCTAAGAAAGGCAAACAATATTTTTTAAATATTTTCAGCTTATAATAATATGGTTACAAAAATATAGTGTACTCAGTGATTCAATGAGTATGATCCAGATGATTCTGGCAGGTTTGGTGTGAAGGCAGTGGCTTGAGTCATTACAAGAGTCCACTGTATGTAGTCACCTTTTTTTTAGTTCCACAACAGGCGGGCATTAAGGGGAATGAAAGAGCTGATAGGTTGGCTGGATCTGCTATCCCTACTGTCGGTCAACCTATGAATCGTGCCGATACTATTACTGCCATCCGAGAAATGGGAAGGGTGGAGCACTCGCTAGACAGAATGATAGACATGAGTTAAGACTGGCCTAGCAAAGAATGAGACGCACACCAGGCATATCAGAGGAGTTGTTAACCAACATGGTATTATTAGCCACCGGGGTTCAGAGTGAGGGGAGAATCTGAGAACCTATGGACATGTCCGGAGTGCAGTGATAACCGAGCTAAATAATATTTTGCATGGCTTACTGCCAGGCACATTTCCCTGTATCTTTTCAGGAGCATTACTACATAGAGAGTTTACATCAACATGAAATTTAACCTCTCTCACTGCAATACTAACAAAAATAAGCCATGACCCATTTGAATTCAACAACAACAACAAACTTAGAAAACAACAATTTTACACTTCATTAATAAGCTCTTTGAATTTGTAGTTACACATTGGGGGGGGGGGGGGGGGAGAGAGAGATATATAAAGACATATAAAAGAAGTAATCAATAAACACAAACAGGGTGACACATTAAATGAAATACATTTTCTGATTTATTAAGATCAGCACAGCAAAAAAACGAGACGCACACCGGACACGTCAGAAGACTTGTTAATCAACATAGAACTGGTACTATTAGCCATCAGACGTTGGGGTTCATACTGAGGGGAGGATCTGAGCACCTATGAACATGTCCGGAGTGCAATGATGATAACCCAACTAACTAACTTTCTAACTAACTAACTAACTAACTAACTAACTAACTAACTAACTAACTAACTAACTAACTAACATTTTCTGAGGCCTAAAAAATAATATACACATATGTATTGGGCGATACATGTTGCGACTGCTTTCACTTTTGGCCTGCAGGAAAATTTGACGACAACTTGGCTTCAAAAGATATAATTCACTCAAAGGAAAATGTCCTCAAATGCTATTTAAAGTTAATGTATTCGCATCTTTAACTCCTCAATATTTGCACAGGTACGAAAACAGCCAATAGGATTAACTATGCATCTCGTAAACTGATCACTACAGACAAGACAGAAAAGTGACATTAAGGGGGAATCAGCCCCAATTGGAAGTGTTAGTTTTGTGGCTTCTCTGAGCAAAGGGGTCAAATGACATTCTACAGACAATTACAATTGTTACAGAACAATTACATTGCTGTGGTTAGCCACTTGACCGTCAGCCTGAAAGTCCTTGGTTCATATCCATACAAAAGAGCTGATTGTTATAACGGACCTAATGGCTTTTCAGGTTTACCCTGCCTAAATTGAGTACCATGGGGGAAAAGTCTTGGATAGTAAAGGCAGCTGGTGTGATGCCAACTACATCACCTACTTCAAATATCTTCTTACTTATTTTGTTTTGTAATATAGCCCCTTATGTCCACATGCCACACCCCCCCCCCCCTTTCCCCCTCCCCACCATGGATAATGTTGGTATTTATTTGTTTTATGTTGACCTTCACTGCGTAGAAGATCTGCCGAGTTTTTCAGTCACAGTTTGTCACACAATGTTCAACTGTATTTGTGGCACCGCTTTTTCATTCAACCTCAGTAATTAAATTAGGGTACTAGTAATGGCAACGGGAGCCAGTGTAACCCGCAATCTCGTGTGAGTAAATGCCAGTGGACTGAGTGGTTTGAAGCGAAGAGAGGATTAACTAACCAGTAACTAATGGACAGAAAGGGAGTAACAGTGCAGAAGCTAGACACTCCATCTGTGGGCCAGCTGACCGAGTGTTTCGATGTGAAGAGAGGATTAACTAACCAGTAACTAATGGACAGAAAGGGAGTAACGGTGCAGAAGCTAGACACTCCATCTGTGGGCCAGCTGACCGAGTGTTTCGATGTGAAAAGAGGATTAACTAACCAGTAACTAACGGACAGATAGGGGGTAACAGTGGTGCGGAAGCTAGACACTCCATCTGTAGGATGACTCAGCCTAAAATGGGTACCAGGAAAAGTCTTGGGAAGTAATTGCTGTCAGCATAATGTTGACCGCATCACCCATGTGCCTACAAAAATATAAGTCTAGCACTACATGCCCAATGCCACACTGGTGAGAAAAGCACCATTTATATTTTTCAAGCACCGAACCAGCAAGTGTGATTTTCAAGCATTTGGGCACCCGCTAAAAAATGATTATGGGTTGGCGGTTGTGAATATGAATTTTTAATAAATGGACAATGAAAGTGTGATTTTGTCTTTCGTTATTTATGTACCAAAGTGTTCACTTTGTATTGGACAATATTTTTTCTCACAGTTCATGCTGTGTGGCACTGGTAGTCATGTCTGTCCACAACCTTCTGTCTCACAAATTTCAATCAGTACTGACACAGATAATCTTCCATACCCTGTGGCACTGGTAGTTGTCTATCTATAACCTGGCACTGGTAGTTTGTCTATCTATAACCTGTCACTGGTAGTTTGTCTATCTATAACCTGTCACTGGTAGTTTGTCTATCTATAACCTGTCACTGGTAGTTTGTCTATCTATAACCTGTCACTGGTAGTTTGTCTATCTATAACCTGTCACTTGGTAGTTTGTCTATCTATAACCTGACCTTCTCCTAGATGAGCTGCACTCCCGTACTGACGAGCCTCATCTACCCGAAGCGTCTGGTTAAAGCGCCAGAGACCCGCTTTCGCCCCTTCTCCTGTTAGCTTAAACATCTCCGCCACGAGAAGGCCAGAGTTGGACTTTTGCTATTAGAGGCTTTGAGAGACGCATGCCTTGAGGGTATTTCATGGAGACTGAGAATCTATAACCTTACACTGGTAGTTTGTCTATCTATAACCTGACACTGGTAGTTTGTATATCTATAACCTGGCACTGGTAGTTTGTCTATCCATAACCTGGCACTATTAGTTTATCTATAACCTGGCACTTGTAGTTTGTCAATCTATAACCTGGCACTGTAGTTTGTCAATCTATAACCTGGCACTGGTAGTTTGTCAATCTATAACCTGGCACTGGTAGTTTGTCTATCCATAACCTGGCACTATTAGTTTATCTATAACCTGGCACTTGTAGTTTGTCAATCTATAACCTGGCACTGGTAGTTTGTCAATCTATAACCTGGCACTGGTAGTTTGTCAATCTATAACCTGGCACTGGTAGTTTGTCTATCCATAACCTGACACTAGTAGTTTGTCTATCTATAACCTGGCACTGGTAGTTTGTCTATCCATAACCTGACACTAGTAGTTTGTCTATCTATAACCTGGCACTGGTAGTTTGTCTATCTATAACCTGGCACTGGTAGTTTGTCTATCTATAACCTGGCACTGGTAGTTTGCCTATCTATAACCTGGCACTGGTAGTTTGTCTATCTATAACCTTACACTGGAAGTTTGTCTATCTATAACCTTACACTGGTAGTTTGTCTATCTATAACCTGTCACTGGTAGTTTGTCTATCTATAACCTGTCACTGGTAGTTTGTCTATCTATAACCTGTCACTTGGTAGTTTGTCTATCTATAACCTGACCTTCTCCTAGATGAGCTGCACTCCCGTACTGACGAGCCTCATCTACCCGAAGCGTCTGGTTAAAGCGCCAGAGACCCGCTTTCGCCCCTTCTCCTGTTAGCTTAAACATCTCCGCCACGAGAAGGCCAGAGTTGGACTTTTGCTATTAGAGGCTTTGAGAGACGCATGCCTTGAGGGTATTTCATGGAGACTGAGAATCTATAACCTTACACTGGTAGTTTGTCTATCTATAACCTGACACTGGTAGTTTGTATATCTATAACCTGGCACTGGTAGTTTGTCTATCCATAACCTGGCACTATTAGTTTATCTATAACCTGGCACTTGTAGTTTGTCAATCTATAACCTGGCACTGGTAGTTTGTCAATCTATAACCTGGCACTGGTAGTTTGTCAATCTATAACCTGGCACTGGTAGTTTGTCTATCCATAACCTGGCACTATTAGTTTATCTATAACCTGGCACTTGTAGTTTGTCAATCTATAACCTGGCACTGGTAGTTTGTCAATCTATAACCTGGCACTGGTAGTTTGTCAATCTATAACCTGGCACTGGTAGTTTGTCTATCCATAACCTGACACTAGTAGTTTGTCTATCTATAACCTGGCACTGGTAGTTTGTCTATCCATAACCTGACACTAGTAGTTTGTCTATCTATAACCTGGCACTGGTAGTTTGTCTATCTATAACCTGGCACTGGTAGTTTGTCTATCTATAACCTGGCACTGGTAGTTTGCCTATCTATAACCTGGCACTGGTAGTTTGTCTATCTATAACCTTACACTGGAAGTTTGTCTATCTATAACCTTACACTGGTAGTTTGTCTATCTATAACCTGGCACTGGTAGTTTGTCTATCTATAACCTTACACTGGTAGTTTGTCTATCTATAACCTTATGTTAAGCATCGCTGGAGTGACCTCTCCAGGGCACAGGCCAGGGCGTTTTGATTTGGAGTACAGACTGTTGCCCAGGCAGCAAGTACCCCCTCTCTACGTCGCCGGTGATACCAAGGGAAAGGCAAAAACCAGTACAACTTGGCACCGAGGACGTTGCAGGAATTGCCGGAATAGCACTGTATACAATGCTAAACCGCCTTAGGGATTCCAGCTCCGGATTTTTCCTCAGGGTTTACTCCCGAGTGCTTTCCCAAACATGGGTATAGCCACAAGGCAGTGGAGGTGTGTAGTCAGAGTTTACCTTCTCCTAGATGAGCTGCACTCCCATGCTGGCGAGCCTCATCTGCCCGTGGTTTGAAATCAGAGTTTTCCTTCTCCTAGATGAGCTGCACTCCCGTACTGACGAGCCTCATTTACCCGAAGCGTCTGGTTAAAGCGCCAGAGACCCGCTTTCGCCCCTTCTCCTGTTAGTTTAAACATCTCCGCCACGAGAAGGCCAGGAGTTGGACTTTTGCTGTTAGAGGCTTTGAGAGACGCATGCCTTGAGGGTATTTCATGGAGACTGAGAATCTATAACCTTACACTGGTAGTTTGTCTATCTATAACCTGACACTGGTAGTTTGTCTATCTATAACCTTACACTGGTAGTTTGTCTATCTATAACCTGGCACTGGTAGTTTGTCTATCTATAACCTGGCACTGGTAGTTTGTCTATCTATAACCTGGCACTGGTAGTTTGTCTATCTATAACCTTACACTGGTAGTTTGTCTATCTATAACCTGGCACTGGTAGTTTGTCTATCTATAACCTGGCACTGGTAGTTTGTCTATCTATAACCTTACACTGGTAGTTTGTCTGTCTATAACCTGGCACTGGTAGTTTGTCTATCTATAACTCCCTGAATAGTACTTTCCCCTAAATACAATACATAAAGAATAAAAACAGCAAATGCACATAAATTATTACCTTCAATAAAGCATTTGTCTTTCTCGGCTCGGCCTCATTCTTGTCAACCCCAGCAGTAAAATCTTTGGAACTTAAGGTGTGGCCAACGTTCCCAGAACTGATCGGTGTCGACGAGTGACTATGATCAGGCAAAGACGGTTCGTCATCATCCTCCTGACTTAGCAGAGATTTTAAAATGTTGTTCCTATCACCGCCTCTGCTTCCTCCTCCTCCTCCACCACCACCAACAACAACACCAGTATTACTGTTGACATTAGGCTTATTGCTGCTGTTGCTCATACTGCCTCCCACTTGCTGGTGATAGCTGTTCTTGCTGTTGCTAATACCCATACTGATATCAATTCCATGGGCATTTGAAACTTCCGTCTCCCCATCTTCAGAAGTGCTCTGGGGTTTTTCTTGAGGACTCTGGCCTGGTCCTTCAGTTGGTGATTGATACAAATGGTCATCTGGAGATTTCATCATGCTTTTTGAATTGGCGGACCAGTGCATATTCATGGTCAAGCCTGCAACGTCCCCAGCTGATGCTAAACTACCACTACTGCTGCTAGAAACTGGGTTTGGGGTACCCGCTGATCCAATCTGTCCGGAAGCACGACGACCTCTGCCCACAATCGACCGTCTCCCATCCCCAGTTATGGGTGAATGCATGGATTCTGAGAATGACTTCTGTGTCAGGAGCTGGCAAAGTCTCTGGGAAGACATACCTGAATTATTACTGTTGTTGCCACCAGCTAGTGTGGTCATGTTCTGCTGAATATTGCTACTGACCATCAAACTCGTTGAATATGATGGCAGAGTGGAGGAATGAAACGAAGAAGACTGAAACCCTGAGGAAGGGACCAGAATATTTATGTTCATGTCGGATCCTCCAGTCATTCCAGCTTGAGATGTGCCCCCCAACATCCCCGAGTGAGAAATAGAGTCCAGAGACTGAAGTGTCCCCAAGGGAGATAAGCGAGGTGCACCAACAGGTGTGCTAGTAGTCTGTGAGACATCGCTGCTACTTGTCTGGGTTGGTGTCACTGACGCTGGTGGTCGACCCCAGCTGGCGGATGTCAAGGGAAAACCTGCACATAATTTCAAACACAGGAATTACATTAAATAAAATTATATGAAATGGTCACATTATACACAATTATAAAAATAGTTACAGAATATAAATTAATAAAATTCAAAACAATTGTTACATTATATAAAAATTAATTACATTACATAAAATTTTTACATTATATAAAAGTTATAAAATTATATAAAATTGTTACATTATATAAAATTAATGAAAACTGTCATCTCCACAATAGAGGTTGGCTGTAATGTATTGACAGCTAACTATGAAAGTATTTTTTGGTAAGCCCCCAATCTCTTCCTCAGTGTGACTCTCATACCACTGTCTAGAAGCCACAAGAAAAGTCCTTTTCTAAACAGCCCAATGTGGGGAATCAGACCCTGGTAAACATAGAGGACTGCATTGTGAGATGATTTCACTAATCTCTATTCCACAGACCCAGACTACATTAGATAACAGTGAAAAGGACAATGCCTAGTGCAACAATAACATGGCAGATGCTGATGAGGAGGTGTGAAACAATATCTGCTTCGGTGTGGATTCGAACCCAGCAAGCAAACATCTAGCCAATATCTCCAAAGTTAGCAGGGAGATTAGGAAAAAATTTATTTTAAAAAATACGAATTTTAAATCACTGCAAGTACTTACCAGACTGCGGAGACAACAGTGGTGATCCGGCTGTGTTTCGCTGAAATCCCAATGAAAGCTGTCTTGGGCTTCGAATCTGTTGCATAGCCGAGTTTCCATTTATGGTCACTGCAGCAGGGCTACGCTGGTTGGGGTGCCCTGGAGCCGTTCGCTGGTTAAATCCAGCGCTGCGAGGTGCACTGCCAGGACTTGGGGTCAGCCTGATATTTTTCTGAGATCCCTCGTACGATGTCACTGAGATGCTCCTCCGGCTCATATTCAAGTTGGGTGGTCGTTTGGAGCCGGTATGTCCTCCAGATCCACTCTGCAGGGCAAACTGTAATGGTGACGGTATGCTTCTGGGTGCAGGGGACTTCATCGAAGGAGCTGATACCCAGTTACTTCCCCCAAGGCCATTGGTGGCTGAAGGAATCATTGGTTTTATGTCCAGGCTGTCATCTGTAAGTGCAAGAAGTTTATAACTTTAATCACTTTAGTCATGGTATACATTGCTTTAGCTTGCTTGTTGTACTTTTAAAAAAAAAGTTACTCTAACCCAGTGTTTCCCAAACTTTTGTTAATCGTGACACTTTTTTTCAATTAAAATTTTTCCACGGCACACAAACCTAAGTAGAAGTATGACTGAGAGATTTTTAAAAAAAATTGTGTATCTTTGAATATTTTGCAGCACCCCTGTGAAGAGGTCACGGCTCACTGGGGCACCATTGTCACAATTTTGACATCACTGCTCCAACCGATAAATGTTTGAAGAAATTTAAAAAAAAATATAATGCTAAGTGACAGAAAGATGTAATGTGCCAACTGGGAAAGAGCAGGTCAGTGTGACAACTACAGCAGGCTTCACATGCAAACCTTAAAACTGTGACAGAAATTATAATACTTATGCCACTGTCTTATAACCTGTTAACTCTTTGAGTCCCAGGGGTTTATCATCACAGGCCCAGGCGGTAGTAAAGAGAGTCATAAAATCAGCGCATCTTGCGTTCATTGGGCTTCTAGGTAGGAACCTATGAACGTATGATGCGTTTCTTGGGACTCAAAGAGTTAATATTGTTGTTAAAGATGTAAAGATGTTGTTAAAGAGTGTTAGGCACATGACATCACAATGGTGATATCATAATGATAGTTTAACTCTTTGAGTCGCAAGGAACACTTCATATGTTCATAGGTTACTGCCTAAAAGCCCAATGAACGCATGATGCACCGATTTTATGACTCTCGTAACTACCCCTTGGGCCTGTGATGCTAAACCCTCTGGGACTCAAAAAGTTAAAAGATGGTCACCCCAATTTTGACAAGAAGAACAATGTTCTGCTATTGCGCTTTTTTAAAAAAATAACTTACTAAAGGGGTGACCGCTATAGAAAATTATTATAAATGAAGGCCATGTAAGATGACACATCCACCATTGGGAAGTTTTTTAAAAAAAAGATTCTTTTTCACGCCTTTAGGTGTATTGGGCATATAGGGCTAGACCTATATTTTATATATCAATCCGCACTCAGTGAGTGATGTGGTCAACTCAAGATCACATCAGTCGCCTTTACTTCCCAAGTCTGCACCTGATACCCACTCAAGGTTGGGTCGACCTGGAAGCCAAGGTCCTTTGTGAAGAGAGCCCGGTTCTGTCAGCACTTGAACCCACGACCTTCCAATCTGCAGGCGAGCGTCTTGGCGGCACACCACTGCAACTCCCATCCACCCAGCAGGACAGCCCAGAAATTCCTAGCCTGAACAGGGTATCTGAGATTTTCTTACTGGATAAGCATCCACACACAAAACTAAAAACCATGTGAGCTGCAGAGGTGTCAAACCTTAAGGTGGCTCCCTGAAAAAGGAGGGGGGGGGGGGGGGGAGACGACAGTCAACTGAATGTGGCAGAAGGAGTTGAGAAAACTATTCAAGCAAGTAGAAAGCAGCAAATGCATTACAAGGTGCATGGCATGAATGGGTTAATAAGTTTTACTGGAGACAAAGATACTCAAAATAAATAGCAATAGGGTGTGTTTAATCCTCTTTGCCCCGTGAATGCATAAAAAAAATGTTTTTTAAACTGTGCTATGAACTTGTAGGAGTTCTATGATAAAATCCTTAAAAACAAACAACCATATTATATACATCAATAAATATTTTTAAAATTAATTTACATGTTTAATGTGTGTGTGTGTGTGTGTGTGCGTGTGTGCGTGCGTGCGTGTGGAATATATATAAAGGTACATAAAAGGGGTCATCAGTAAATACAAACAGTTTAGAGGAACAAATTACCCAGTGCCTTAAAAAAACCAATATCTATCAGATTTCTCATGCCATGACCCCATGACCTCTGTCACTGACACCTACAGGGAAATCTGACATTAACTTAAGCTTTAAAGAAAAGTAATTGGGTCATAAGGTGTTTTATGACTTTTTTTTTAAAAACCATCAATACAGTAATGATACTATAAATAGGGATAACGTCAGGGTATGACTGACAGAATTGGGTAAGTCCCTGATAGCATGGGTTTCACAGAGATATGGTGAAACAAACAAGAGTGGGTGAGTCACGTGTGAATGCGAGATCTAGGGGATTGAGAATGAGGTGGTCATTCGGTGACTGGGCCCCAGATTGGAAGGATGTGAAGCTGAATCTGTGAAGGTGAATCCAGAGTGAAAGAATGTTAGTGCTGAATGACAAGACAAGCAGCGCTATTGAATGATCGTTTAGGCCAGCCGTTGTGTTTCACGGTTTGTTTGTTGAGCCAGCGTGTAGATGCCAGTGTCCATCGTTTGAAGCATGGCTAGAGACTCAATGTGTGAGCAAGGCGAGATTGCCCGAATGGCGTAAGTTAGTTCATCTGTTGATTCGTGTCTCTTGTGTTACATTGACAATAAACCTGTGAAATGCGTCAGCTGCGGTAGACCGTCATTTAAAGTTGTGTGGCCGTGGAAAGAAGTGTCATCTGGCTAGAATGAACTGTGACCTAACACCTAGACAACAGAGTCAGTGTTGAATCTGCACGAGAGAGATTGAGTGTAGAGTAGACACATTACGTGGACTGTTTTTACGCTAATGGCTCATCAGGAAATAGTGCTAGGCCCCTAGCAAACAGGTGCGGGTACTCGCCACAAAGCATTTAAAAGGGAGCTGGCATGCATCATAAAGTGTCTATTACAAAACCACTGAAAAACAATGTGTTTTAAAAAGCTGGCAGTACTAAAAAAGAAGGGAAAAAACAGCCGTGGCTAGACGCATATTTATATATTTACTAATCAGCATCTGACGGGTGATATAGTTACATCACACCCATCATCTACACTTTCGAGACATTTATTTTGGGGGCAAGGATTAAAAACTGTAAGGGAGAGAAAATTTGAAGGCAGGAGTGCAAAAAGCAGACGGCTACACAAGCTGAAGAATGTGAGTCAATACTGCAGAAGCACAAAACAGACCATCAAACCTAAAAAGTTGAAGAGTAACAATAAATGGATGAATAGACGTCTGAAAAGTGCACAACCAGGATAAGAAATGGAAAATGCTGGTGATTTAGCCAACCTTCGTTGTGAAGATGTCACCTCGTTAATTTACTCATTCTTCTGTCCTTATTCTGCATCTAAGTTAGGGCACGCTCAGTTGCCTAGTATGCTTCATAGTCCATCTTCTTCTTCTTGGTCATAATTTATTAAAGAACCTCCTTTCATGCCTTCGGGCATATCGGCACTTAGTGGGTAATGTGGTCAACATCATGCTGGCTGCCTTTACTTCCCAGGTATTTACCTAGCACCCATTTGAGAATGGGTCAACCTCAGAGCCAAGGTCAATTCTGAAATAGAGTTTGGCTTTGATTTTAACCTATAACTATCCCAGTAGAGTATCTAGCCTGCACACCATTGCGGCTCCCTCCGAATTTATTGGTTTCACAGATAGTCAGACAAAGACTTACTCTGCAACTGGCCAAAAATGTCCAGCTCGGCTAGAATATCCAGCTCTGAGCTGCTGGCATCTACTGACTTTGGCCCTGTGTCCATGCTGGTGTTGGCAGGTGGGAGGGACAGCCCTGCTCCTGAATCTACTGAAAGGGCACTCAAGTTGGCAGAGGAGGCAGAGCGACCTCCAGACTGTCCAATGATAGATGTCATTATATTTACAGGGTCCAAACCTTTCAGCTCCATCTCTGGCTCACATTCACTGTGAATAGAGGAAACCACACAAAAATTAACATCTGCGAAAATGTAAGATAAATACTTGAGATTAAAAAAAAAAATTAACACCAATAACATTGGGAACAGCTAATTTCTACCAAATGAAGGCAGCAATCTATCAAATGAAGGCAGCAATCTACCAAATGAAAGCAGCATGTACTAAATGAAGGCAGCATCTACCAAACGAAGGCAGCAATCTACCAAATGAAGGCAGCCATCTACCAAATGAAGGCAGCAATCTACCAAATGAAGGCAGCATCTACCAAATGAAGGCAGCATTTACCAAACAAAGGCAGCAATCTACCAAATGAAGGCAGCAATCTACCAAATGAAGGCAGCAATCTACCAAATAAAGGCAGCAATCTACCAAATGGGGGCAGCAATCTAGTCTAGTCTACCAAATAAAGGCAGCAATCTACCAAATGAAGGCAGCAATCCACTAAATGAAGGCAGCAATCTAAGAAGTAATGCTCCAAGTACAGTATGAAAAGTGTACTTAGAGACCGCAGTCTCAAGTTCTAGAGGTGTAAAGGAAAGGTTATGCAAATGTGCTCCGCCACAAACCCACCGAGTAGATGCATGGCTCATGGTTCAGATCACATTCACAAAGACCTTAGGACATCACCACAAGGATCTAGAGCTGACACAGTTTCATACAATGTAAGGAAAAAGCAAAGGACCTTTTACATGCCATGGCCACTTCAGATAAATGATGCTCAATTCAAACATACTTATCCCTATCTTAAAGTTCGTTTATGCCAATACACACTTCTTATTGTCGTGTCAGCATTATGATGTTAAATTCAAATTGACTTATACCTATCAAGTTCATTCATGCCCAGAAACACTTCTCACTGTTGCATAAGACAAAAAATGGTAAATTCAAATTCACTTATTCCTATCTTAAAGTTAATTCGTGCCTATAAATGCTGCTGCATAGGACAAATAATAATAAATTCAAATATACTTATTCCTATCTAAAGTTCATTCATGACCATAAAAACTTCTCATAAAAATAAGCCGAGTGGTGTTGATCATAATATCTGAACACAGCTTTCTGTCTCTCATAGTCTGTATTTTCATTACTCTATTCCCAAAAAAGATCTATTTTTTTGTTTACATAAGTTAGTGCCATGAATGAAGCCACTGTGGTGCAGCAGCTAGATGCTTGCCTGCCGATCTGAAGGTTGTGAAGTTGAGATCCTAAGACAGGTTCTACTTTTTTAAATGACTTTGGCTTCCAGGTCGACCCAGCCTTAACTAAGTATCTATCCGAGGAAGTAAAGGTGGTCTGCTTGATAATGATCACATCATCCACAAAGTGCTGATTAGTTTTAAAACAGAGGTCTAGCCCTATGTGCCCAAAATGCCTCAGGAAAACAGTCCTTTGCTTTTAATTTAGTGCAATAAAGTACCTGTATCTTTTCATTTAACTGAAAATCACTATTCATGAATTTAGCAAAGCTATGATTATTCCTGCATAAAATACAATCAAATTATCTGCTCATAGGAAACCACAGTACTGCTGAATCAAACTCATTTCATCTCCAAATCCTAAACTTTGGCACTGACAGAGCTTTTTTACCTGTATCCAGGTAACTATTGAAGAATCCCAACTCCACGAGCAGGTCATGAAATCCACATGTAAGACTACCACTAGCTGAAATAAAGCTTCTAATTTTTTAGATTCACCGGTTGCAAACTCCAGCAGAAAGTTCTGGTTGTTTCTCCACTTTTGGACTTACAGAACATTTAGTCTTTTAAGTACTTAGGGCATCAAAGAGTCTTAATCTTGCCCTGTCTGTAATTTTCTTTTATATTTTATTTGTTGCATGCAAGGATTGTGTATTTAATCCCTTCAGAGGTTGTATACCTATGTATTTTTGTATTTTCATGACTGATTTGCTTTATGATTAGGAAAGCCTTCTTTTTGTGTCACACACACTGTATGAGTTCCGGGGCTCCATTGGGGAAGGGGGTAAAACAGACCTACTACCACTAAGCAAGCATACCGTAAAAGGCGCCTGATTAAGAGCTTGTCAAAATGGAATGTTCAGTCTTTGCAGCCAAGCGGTAAACCATACCACAGTGTGGCGGCCGTCATTTTAAGTGCGAACACAGAAGAAGAAAAATCTCACACTCTGATAGATTTTCCTCTACCTCTTGTTATTATATCAATCTTTTCTGCAGTCATGTTTTCTTCCAGTATAGATATGGTAATGATACAATATTTTTAAATGTAGCCACAATACATGATGTGTTACTGTTGTTGTTAATGTTTAGTTTATTTATAACTCTTTTCCCGTTTTCAAATTTGCTAATGATCTGTGCCCACACAGCCAAAGAACATTTGCCAGATTCCTTGTAACCATCTATGCACCCACATATCTTAATCTACGACTAGCAGACGACAACACAGGTCATCATCATCATCATCATCATCAGAACATGTGAGCAAACTGATACTGGGCTTATCTAGTCATATCTAACTACATATAATACAAAGGAAAGTCTTACCGGATAATTGAATGAGTGGAATTAATGAAGTCTGGTTCACCAGTCATCTGGTTTTTAAACAGTCTGCTTTTTGTCTGAACAAAAACATATCGATTCTCAGCCAGTCTGAACCGGTAAATTCCACTAGTATTCTGTCCATTCTTCAGAACTGGGGATAGAATAGTAATTCCTGTCAACCTGTACTTATATAACCGAATATACACACAGCTTAAGATCTTTAACTATTTGTGTCAGTGTAAATGACTGGGGACAAGATTTCAGTATCTTTATTTTTATTTTAAAATAAGGTTTTTCTGTTGCAAATATAAATAATTAATGTAAACAGAACGTTTTGCAAGAAATTATCTGACACATTTCTGTGTATCTTTTTAGGTGCACACAAAATTTAAAAAACACATACATGAAAAAAAAACAATGGATACTTATTCATGGCTGAAAGTTAGTCTCATATCCTTTACAGGATGTTGCAGAACCAACCCCAGCATTCTTTGGCTGCTGTAGTTTTTCTAGGCAAATTTTATATTCAGTAGTTTGCTACTGCCTCTGAACGGTCAGCTCTCGGTACAACAGTTGAAACCAACGCAAGACAAACCGTCCACAGTTGGGATCGAACCTGGTACCCCAGTATTACAAAGAGCATTTGCAACGTCTACGCCACAGATGCTGACTTCATAGGTGAAATATAGCTGAAATACATAATCCTTCTCCCTGTATCATTTTTCCAATCCCACTGTTACACAAATAAAAAAAATATTAAGCAGCTAACATAATTATATTTAAACTTAGGACTTTGTGTGCGGTGTAATTTGGATTAGAGGATTTCATATACAAGTTATACACAGCACATAGCATTTTCATTTATTTTTCTTCTTGTTCTTCATCTGAGAATGTAGCCTTGTTCTCCGTTTATACACAAGAGATGTGATATTTGTGCCTTTCCGCCAACACATTCAACTTCTTCGTGCATTTTCTGCGTGTCCGGGTTAACCTTATATTTCTCACTTAAACTGACGTTTTTTAAACTAGTATCAACACACACAAAATTGAAATATATTTACTAGCGGAAAAAACTACACTAAAATTCTGTTCACTGAATTTAGTATCTTTTTATTTTACCCTTAAAACTGCGGTTAGCATATTGTGTTGCAGTTTACAGCTAGGCTGCAATATCTGTGTCGTTCTGTCCAACATATCCGATTTTAGTCACTTTTTAGAATGAGCTAGTCAGGAAACAATGAATCTATTCTTTTGTGGCCAAAAATGGGGTACTGGGACCCAGATGTAGAAAGTTAAAACTGAAAGAGATCAACTCACCTTCTTGGGAATGCTTTTTAAGTTGTGGTAGATCTTCCGGATAACAGAAGTCATGTATATGGGTACCCTCCAAGTTCACCTTGCCATGACTGGAAAGAAAATCATATTCTCTATTAGAACTGGATATTCTAAACTTACAGGGGAAACCAAAATGTTCTGAGATGAGAAGCATACATTAGAATTGCACCTGCAGCCGGCAAAAACAATTAAATAAATTAGGCGCATTTCCACAAAGACGGCTGACGGCAAAATTTTCTGGCTGAATACTTTTTCAAACAGTATAGTTTTTCATACACATGGTGTATTTTGATGTAGCCAAAATATCAGTCTCTTTTTTCATTCCTTTACACAACACTATTTTCATTTTCAGCCTTAACAAAAACCTCTGCAGTATTCGACTGTATTAAATAAAAAAAAAACAGATATTTGCTACACTCAAGAACTAAGATGTAAAAGCTGGCATTATCTTCAAATTTTTACCCCTCTCAAAAAACAAAATACTAAATAAAATTAAAGGAAATTTGGTGACAGGCCTCAGGGTAAAGCTATATCTTTTTCTTCCTCTTCTTCAGGGCATTCACCAGTTCTATATTTTGGTGCAAAGTAGTCGTTCATCCATTCCCCGAACCAGAGTTTGACGAGCATCTCTGTTTTACAGATTTGGCTTATTTCTAATGCAGTCTTGATTAGTTGCTTCTCAGGCAGATACACTCAGACTCTGAAAGGAAACACCCTTAGTTCCTACAACATGCTTGGCGGGGGGGGGGGGGGGGGGGGGGGGGGGAATGGGGGGCGCAGTGGGTCTATTATTGTCTGCCCCCCCCCCCCCCCAACCCAAAACAGAGGCTCGTAACACACATAAGGAATACACTTTACTAAATCATGAGGCTACATACCTGGTTTCAGCTTGAAGGATTTTCCCATGCACATCTTCTTTTGTGATAAAGTGGCTTACTGCACCAGTCATCATATTGTTTTTCTCATTCATCGGCAGACGCCGGGCTATACACAGCAGACACGTCTTATTTTCTGTGAAATTTAAACATAATTACCAACTGGGAAAAGTAAGCAATTAAAGTAAAGGACGCTTCTCACACCAGCGGAATATGGTGTCTTTTTAAAAAAGTAAAGGACCCTTCTCACACCAGTGGAATATGGTGTCTTTTTCCAAATGTAAAGGACCCTTCTCACACCAGCAAAATATGGTGTCTTTTTCAAAAAGTCAGTATCTGTTGTCAGTTGTCTAGTATTACCAGTCAGTATCTGTTGTCAGTTGTCTAGCAGTACCAGTCAGTATCTGTTGTCAGTTGTCTAGTATTACCAGTCAGTATCTGTTGTCAGTTGTCTAGTAGTACCACCAGTCAGTATCTGCTGTCAGCTGTCTAGTATTACCAGTCAGTTTCTGTTGTCAGTTGTCTAGTATTACCAGTCAGTATCTGTTGTCAGTTGTCTAGTATTACCAGTTGGACAGTAAGTGCAGGCAGTCAGACAGTCAGTGCAATATGTTAATCAGTACCTGCATCCAATCAAGCAGTTAAAATTAACTGCGTCTCTATTTTTTTTTCAGGACGTTGCGGTTTGTGATTTCATTAGGTAATTTTACATTTGGTAGTTTGCCATTAATTGCTTAACGATCAACTCTCAATAGCACTACTGAAGCTTATGCAAGGTGGTTTGTCACCATAATGTCCAGTGCTGATTTTAAAATCACCACCACAGAATTACAAAATGTTATCACAGTGCTAAAGCCACAGACACAGAATTGACTTCGGTTATCTGGGTGTCAACATCATCACTATCCCGTAATACTGTGTGTCGTCGGGTGACCAGTTGCTGTTGACTAGCCAGTCAGATCCCTCCACCTTTGACAGTTAGATCCGACAGTCTTCATGGATGCACTCCTAAGGCCAGTCCAGCCAGTCAAGTTCTCTTTCCAGGTCTTTCTTGGTCCACCTCTTCTCCTCTTTCCCTTCAATGAGCCCTGTATTATTTTTGAGAGGCCATAAGATGCATTTTCTGTCTTTTCACTGTATTTAAAAGAGGTTCATAGTTTAAATATGCAGAGTAATTATACAGTGAACCTAGTCATTTGCGTTGTGATTTCTGTATGATATGCCAAGAATATTTCTGAAAGATCTCATTTCCATTTGAGTTCAGCTGTTAAGGTTCACATTTCACAGCCATTTGTGAAAGTACTAATATAGCTAGTGCTCTCAGCCATTGTAGCTTAGTTTTATTTGAAATGTTTTTAGATCTCCATAATATTTGATGTGTAGCAGGTGTATCCCATTTAAAACATTCTCTCTCTGCTGAGCAGCCAGCTGCCTGTCAAGATATCACACAAAGGACTAGCTCCAGAGTTTTAGTGATGATCCCCCTACAAAATGTACTCATGAACTGCTTGATGTGTCCAAACAAACAGAAACGATGACCACCAGAGAAGAATACAAATAGTTTGACCACTTCCTCGTGCAGAACCCCTAAAGGCAGTACCCACAGTCAGTTGGGAGTGGCAGTCGAGCATAACTGTCAATGGCAATAAGGCACCAGATGATGAGTAAAACTTTTGTTTCTTCTTCTCCTTCTGTATCCAAGATCAGATCAGCCATGCTGGACATCCAGTCCCATGTGGGTTACAGACAGCAAATCTAAGGTCATGAAGACCTCCTACAGCTTGCCTTACAGCACTGTTTCTCCCTTGGGCCAGTTCCCCAACCTTTGCCTGAAGTTTCTCCGCCTGAGAAACGGTGCCTCTTTTTTCTTTAGGACAACAAACCTGCTGCTCCCTATCAAGAACACTGTAAAAAGGCGACTAATTAAGGTCTTGCTGAAATCGGATGTGTTGGAATAAAAGTCACCGATACTGCAGCCTGGCTGTAAACCAAAACACAATGTGCCCCCCCCCCCCCATTTTTTTAGGGTGAATGAAATAGTAAAAGTAATGCCTGGACTAAATAGGTAAACAGATAAATTCTGCAGTGCCTACTTAGGAGTCTGCCAGCTCAACAGAGACACGTGGTATATTCTGTATCTTCAGAGTTGCATTTTCAACTTGTCCAGTTAAAGTTTAACAAATTAAGTGTGAAATAAACACTATGTATAAACAACTTACCACTGGACTGTGGAGAAAACAGTGGTTGGTCGGTAAGTTTCTGGGCCAGGCAAGGCTGGAAGATCGCTGTGATTTGCATGTTCTCATAGTGTGTAATATATGCCTGCTTCAGCTCTACATCATCATCTTCTTCAGCTGCAGATATTGAATACACACTGTCATAGGTAAATCAATTTTTAAAAAGCCACCTAATTAGGGCTGTTTCCTTGGAAGTCAGAATGCATCTGCCTGTCTGGTGAGGAACCAACAGTCTGCTTGTGCTTACAAAAAGCCAGACCTGTATAATCAATATGCACGCAAAACTCAAGTTCTGAAACAAGACAACAGTCAAGAAGTGGACGAAAATCCAGAACCTTCTATCGGAGTTTACAGCCGGTAAATGCTGAGAAAAAGAAGAAAAGTGTGTCACAGTCTAGGACACGGCTATTCAACTAAGTTTCCTCAGACGCCAAAAGTTTTTAGGTTGGGGGTCGTTATAGGCCAGAGACCTAGTATAAAGAGATCATAAATACATTTATTTAAAAAAACAATTCTGAAGATGTGAACCAGCATCACTGCACACTGTTATAAACCATAGGTGCCCTTCCACCAGTACGGACAACTGATTAGAAACTGTCCGCCTGTGTCGCTGTTCTCACGCAACTCCATAGCTACAGCGACGTCCCTCCATTTACCCCAGAGTGTTAACCCTAGTACCCATTATCTAGAGGCTGGGTGAACCCCGGGAACCGCCCGGTTTCGAACACCGGCCGTGAGCTGCAGCGAGTCGCAGTTGGATTTGAAAGCCACTCTCCTATCGACTGCGCTAACGCAGATTAATACAATACACCTAGCAATGATCTGCAGATTTGGCCTGCAGGCCACCAGAACAGGCTGGTCTAGAATATGTGAAGACTGAACACTTCAATCCCAAACGGACGTATCGGATAAAAATAAAACAAGACCAAAAGGCACATAATACAAACAAACAAAAGTTAAGAAACCTTCTCTAGAGCAGTGAGACAAACAGGAGTCTGAAACAAATTTAAAGGTCCAAGATATCCTTTACGAAACACCAGCAAGGCCGTCCTCCTCATCCAACGCCTGCAGAAGACTAACCTATCAGTCAAAAGGCGCAAATATTGCAGCCATGTTGTAAATTGGTACTACACATTTACATCTTCAGATAAATGCAGAAGCAGATGAATATTTACATACACTCAAATCCCAACTTTACAATGCAATCTCCCTTTGTGATTCTATTATTTATAAAACATAAAAAGTTCTGTAGTGCAACTATTTAAAGAATGGAATCCGTGGCAGACCTTTGAAAATAAGAGAGGTCTGCAGGTCTTAGCCAATAGGAAACCACTGTTCTAGGGGACAGCACTCCATTACCAAAGGTACGGAAAACAATACTGTGAACGTTAACAATTTTCAAAATACAACTACTGCAAACAGGCCGCTCCATAAATGCTCCAGTCCTGTGCAAGCGAAGATCACATGGGATGTCCTTCACCATTCCATTTGAATATAGTCAACAAATGAATAATTAGTTAAGGAAAAATCCAAAAACATGCGCATGCAGTAAATGCATAGAGCAGTTACTATAGGTGCCAATACCAACAGTCACCACTAAAATTACAATTGGTCATTAATGGAAGTGGTCAATCATGATAAGCTGGCTGTACATCTCCAGCAATAATGCATAAGGTACTTTGCCAGATCAAATGCCCCCCCCCCCCCCCCCCCCCCCCCCCGTCAAAACTTACTTGGAGGTTTTACAAGCATACGACATTGAAAGTTACATCCTCGGGTTGTTGGTGAATCACTTGGCCAGGCCAAGCCACTGGCTGTGGATGACACAATTATCAAATTAACATGTATCACTTATCACATTAGCACATATTACTTATGACATTTACAAGTATCACTTATGATATTAACACTTTCGCATTAACACACATTAATTTACCACTTATCATACTAACACTTATCACATTACCAGTTACCACAGCTTTAAAAAAATTGTTCACTTACTGTCCAACCATCAACGATTCACTTCTGAAATCAGGATAGGAGTTATAAAGCTCTAGGGAATTCTCTTCTTTATCTCAATTAACACAGAAAGACTGCATAGAATATTCATTTTGTAAAACGCTGCGCTTATATCTTAAACTATTCTACATTTCAGCTTCTTTAATACATCTTCCATTTGCTGTTATCAGAGTACCCAAGTACTTAAACGCATAGCTGTGATGACTATTCTCACTAATCATTAAAGCACCAAAGTACTTTAACGCATAGCTGTGATGAGTCCTCACTGATCATTAAAGCACTCAAGTACTTAAACATATAGCTGTGATGACAGTCATCACTAATCATTAACAGCACCCAAGTACTTTAACGTACAGCTGTGATTACAGTCTTCACTAATCATTAAAGCACCTAAGAACTTAAATGTATAGCTGTGATGACAGTCTTCACTAATCATTAATGTCCAGTAGGACTTGAGCATAACAAAATGAGAGCAATGTGAAGGGAAAATGTGCCTTACTCAGTGTCATAGGCAGTAGCTTAGTACTGAACTGTGGGTGATCACCCACATGTATAATGTTGTAGATACTTTTGCCAACTAGGTCATCCTGAAATAAACATCATCAATTCAATAACTGGTATCGCATACAACATGAGTAAATGTGTAGTAGTGAAGCCATAATACTACCACCATCAATCAGCAAGTCATTTACAGAACGTCGCTCTCTTTATGGCACACCTGAAAGTATCCCTTTCCCTAGCCAGCTCTCCAGAGCGCCATGTGCTTTAAATGCAAATGTTTCTTCAATGTCCTCACCGTCTTTCCCAAGCCACCCTGATGCTTGATGTGGCCAAAATACTCCAACTTTCGGGACAGGATGCTGTTTATAAGCCAGTTCTCCTTGATGTTAAACTTATTTAAAATGTTTATGTTTTTCCTCTTCTATAACATTTCAACGCAAAGGCTTCCATCTTTTTCCTCAGTGACTGAGTGAGAGTCCAGGACTCACAACCATAAGTTGCCACAGGAAAAATGCATGATCTCAAGATTTTTACTTTAATCAGTTTGCTAGGGCTTTGCCATAGGTTCTTCATGCTGTTTAATCTCTGCATTGCTCATGCAAGTCTTCTTCTGACTTCTTTCCAGCAGTCACCACTTTTGTTCACTAAAGAGCCCAAGTATTCTAAATCTGTTACATTTTCTATTTCTTCATTTTTGTTTGTGATATGTGGTTAGTGTGCTGTATTTAAAAAAGTAAAGATCCCTTTACACGCCCTTAGGTGCATCAGGCATATGGGAAGAGTGCTCATATTTTTACAGACCATCAGCGCTCGGTGGGTAATGTGGTCAGCATTACGCTGGCCGTCTTTACTTTCCCAGGACAGCCCGTCCTGGTACCCATTTGAGGCTGGGTCGACTTGCGACGTCCCATACCACGATAAAAATCCACGCAGCCCACGCAGGTTTCAATCGCGGTACGTTGGATTACGAGTCAGACTCGCAATGCCTTAGCCACGGACGCCGCTGTATTTACTGAGGACATAATTTTGCTTTGTTTTAAATTCAGAGAAAGATTCACTTCTTTTATATTATCAGAAACAAAAATACAGCAAAGGACACTTTACATTGCAGTGACGTATCTAGTATTATGCAAGGCCTGTTGTTATTTTTTTTTAAATCAACAATCAGCACCGGATGGTTGATGTGATCAACATCATCTGGCTAACTTTATTTCAAAATACATTTCCTAGTGCTGATTTCAAGCTGGGTCAACCTTGGAGTCACGGTCAGTATTTTCTTCCTTAAACTCATCATGTGTCATTTTAAACCGAAACACATTCATAATGGCAGTTCTCTCCGCTAATATTCAGTTCACTGGTGAAACTGTTAAGGAGAAACAGGATATCTTAACCAGAGCTGTGGTGTTTGTGCTTTATGTGACACTCTAGGCAAGCTGCTCTGCCAAGACAGAAAAAGCCATAAGGGTTAAACTCCGGTGCAATGAAGTCAATTTTCCTTTAATTTTTATCTTTAACTTTTAGCTTTCTCCATAAATATCACTAAAACCGAACACAACAAACAGACTTCAGTCAAAGTAAACAACACGTTTTACATCACTGGCATATGATAATGGACTCACATTTTTTTTTAAAGACTAATCAACACTCGTTCAGTAACAACATGTCGGTTGTTTTTATCTCCAAGAACTCTACCTCGTACCCATTTTTGGCTAGGGACCCCCCGAGTCAAGGTCAATTTGTGGGGGAAAAATCAGGCTGGATACAAACTCATTAGTTTTTTAAGCCAGCAAATGTGCACCTAGCCTCAGATGGCTCATAACAAAAACAGAACATTTAAAAAGAGAGAGACAACATGACAACAATAAAAGAAGTTAATAGGCACCCTAGCTTCCTAGGTGTACGTCAAAATTATGGGTGCCATAGACTACAAAATAGTGTCACATGTTAACATACATTATTGTTACGGGGAGGGGGGGAATAATTTGTTAGTCAATATCCTCATTACCTGGGTGTATGTCCAAATCTAGGTAACAAATTAATAAATTTGGGTAGTAAAAATAGATTTGATTTTTGGGTAGCAAAAACGGGCATTCTTGTTACCGGTTTTTTTTTCAAATCAGGAGTAATAAAACACCACATTAACCCATGAATTGACAATCTTGTTACCTCAGTGCATGTCAGAATTTGGTTAACAAGGTAACAAAACTGGGTAAATTTCTAAACCACAAACAGCTGGGATAAAACTCTGGCAATAGTCAAAGACTGCACTGTGAAACGATTTCACTAAGCATTAACCCTCTTAGCACGGACAGGCCGATTATCGGCCGGCGGATGTCTGGCCAAAAACACGGAACGGCCATCATCGGCCCGATCGTGTTTCGCCTCGAACCACAAAGAAATCTCCTATTTTGAAACACTGAAAGTGATTCATTTATATTCACTGCTGTATTAGCTTTACACATGGCGACTTTCTAGTGTTTGGTATCGAAGTGAAAATTGTTGTTAAATTTGTTAGATAGTGACCTGAACCGCTAAAAGTATGTCTGACTCGTATGTTTCTGCCCCTAAACTTGATGTTGATAAAACATTTGAATCAAGTGATGACACTAATTCTGTTGATGCTGATGCAGGATCTAGTGTTAGTATTAATAGTGGGGAATCAGATGGGGATGCTGTTGTGTTCAGAGCACAGCCCAACTATGGCTCAGGGTATATCCACCCGAAGGTGTTGACACTCCGGCACCTCCATTTCTTGTGCTGACTGATGGTCAAAAACACAATGTCACCTAAAGATATTATTGCTGTTTCATATATATATTCCTGTTTTTGACTATTGAATAGCTTACAACATTTGTAAATAGGCCAAAGATCAATAAAAAGATTTCAAATAAAATATATTTTTGTTTTTAGTTATATGTTTCATGCATTGAAGTTGAAAATTCACAATCTAATTTTCTATTTTTAGATATGCAAATGAGATAATTTGCATGTACATCAATTAATTGTAACGATGTTGTGAAAATCATGAACTTCAATTTATATCCTTCAAATAGATATATTATTTCATGGGAGTCAGAATAACAGAAATGTGTCAAAAAAATTAAATAAAGTAATAATCAAATTTACTGAAAAAATGCTCCGTGTTTTTGGCTAGACATATGAAAAACTTCCCGTGCTAAAAGGGTTAAACAAAGAGCTTGAGAAGCTATTTAAAAAGTTGGAAATACCCAAAAAAAATGTAATAACTCAATTAGCATTCCCATTACCTGAGTATATTTCAGAAACTGTGTAACGTTCTCCGATATGAACTCAACCTTTCCCTGGTTATTCACCACAAACAGGAACCCGTTCAGAGCCTGCAGAAAATATGTAAACAATTATTATTGATCCAAATCAAGGGAATAAAGGTGATCATGTTAGCAACACATATTATAATGCATCGTGAAAGCTGGAGTAAAGATTATGGCTGGACTGAATGAAGGACATAGGTCAAGGTGCTCTGGGAGTAAATACTTGTCTCTGTGTGTTGAATGACATGGATTTCATATTTATTGGGTCATGGCATGTGCATGGGTTCAAGCAGTGGTTCTCAGTTTGGTCAGGCTAGTGTACACCTCTCATGGTCAAAGATCTTCCATGGACTGTATCATTTTTCAATGGCATGCTGAAGAACCGAAAATGTTAAAATATTAGAACTGCAAAAAGGATTGCATGTAGAGATGTGGGGTTGTATGTGTGTGTGTGTGAAGCCTGTGTGTGTGTGATGTTTATTGGACAATCTTCCCTAAAAACAGATACTGATGATGATGATATTTTTTTTTAAATTACACCACCAGAAGGTGAACCAAGGCAACTGATACCTGAGGAAGTTAGATGTACAGGCAAAAGGCATAAATATCATGGCCAAGATGTAAATAGGAAAAAACAAACAAGTCCTCAGATGAATGCAGAGAAGAAAATTAAGAAAAAAAGTCACGAGAAATTAAATCAATCAGACAGAAAGCGAGAAAGGAAAAGAGTGAGAGTAAGAGTCAAATCAGGAGGGAAAAAACCCCAATTATTTCCTTAAAAAAACTTCAGCTAGACTGACATGTTTCAAAACAAACTTTACATCAGTCTTACTGCATAAAATAAGAAAGGATGAAGGGGGAGGAGGGAGAAAGGAGACGAGGGGAAGAATAAAAGAGAAACGGGGGAGAGGGAGCATAGTGTAATACATTACGTCAACCAGTAGGATTACCAACAAGGAAAAAGTGCATATACTGACTGAGTCAGAAACTATTACAATTTGAAAGCCACCCTTAGCAAAAACAAACACTGATCAATAATAAAATTTAATCTTGTTGAACATTTGAAGATGTTTAATGAACTTCAGGCAAACTTAGCGCAGCTAAGCCGTCTCCAAAAATACAAAGGATGCTGATTGTTACCATAGCAGGCTCATTCAAACTGAAAACCTTAGACAAACTTTGTAATCCTTCTCTTTTCCAAATGCCTGGGGTCCGAAGCAGATAACAGTGGCCCTGACCCTCCAATCCTCTCTATCCTAGATTATTCTAACGAGGTTAATGCTGCTTATATTGTTAATTGCATTAACATCGTTTAGATCTATTCATGCTCTGTCCTCGGATGCAGCAGCTATCTCAGGGTCTCCATGATTACCATGCCCAGCATTGCTAAAGTGGGTATTTTTCTGACATCTTTTGTGCAGTCACCATTGTTGTTCACTAAAAGCCTAAATATGTCTAGGATGTTTTCTATCCCTTCATGTTACAAAATCTCCCACAATACATATTCTTCTTCCTACAGTCCATGCCATCTGGTACTGGCAGAAATTACTACCCACAACCTTCTGTCTTGTGTACTTTTAATCAGTTCTGACACAGATGATCTCCCATGCTAAGATGTCAAACATCTTCTCACTCAATTTCCCTCTGCCTTCTTTCCCCTCCAAATTCCCCACCGCCACGATGTACTCCAGTTTTCTCTGTCTCATGACACAACTTAAGAATATAGGTTGTCTCCTTCTGGTGTGGGTAATCGGTTCTTTTTATGGGCCAATTTCTTCAAGGTATCTTTATTACTCTTTTTTTGTGTGTGGATCCACAGTGTTATCAAAATCTTTTATAAAACCACATCTATGCTGCTTCCACATAAGTATTTACCTTCTTAACTATATTTTTCACCTGGCTGTTGTAGCCATTAAGGGCACCCTATTTATCATTTCTGTTTAGGTTGAACGGGATTTCTAACATCTAGGGTCAATTTCTTTCAAGGAATCATCTTTAATTTTTTTTAATGCTTTTTTCTTTATTGCAAATTTAAATAATGCTAACACACACACTATTTTGCACAATTTAATGCCTGGCATATTTCACTGTATCTCGTCCGGTGCATACTACAGAGTTAAATCAACACATAATGAAGCACAAAATGAATACTTTTCATGCTGAAATGCATAAACAATATTGTCAAGTTGCTGTACACCTATCCGCCAGAAAAAAAATTCAGTCACGTGATTATCCAGGTAACTTCAAAATTGATCACGTGATCTTCCTGTTTACATAACACAGGAGAGTGGGGTTTTACTGATGCAGCCTTGATTACTTTTAGCAAATGTCTATTCAGTGTGTGGTAAATAATCTGAAAGCACATTCTTTATCAACCACATGCCCAGAGTCAAGCCAATGTTGTTGAACTTTTAATACTATTTTGTGTGGGTATAGGGTGTTCTCTTCCTTGTCTACACAATCAAATATCTGCTGCTTCCACATAAGCACTAACCTACTTAGAACGATATCTGACACCTCTCTGGTGCACACTAATTATTGGGTTGGGCAGGGAATCTAGTATCTATCTACCTTGTTGGTTTATGCAATACTGTAAATATTTTTGGTAGCAGTATAATTATGACCCTGCTCAACTACCAGGATTATAAGTGGGATATACAACATGATACTGTCAAGACTGGCAAAGGTAAAAGGCAAGGAACCGATAATCTGCATACAAATAAGTCAGATCTGTTGTTAAATGGATGTGCAAGCAACACTCAGGTTCTGAAATAAGACTAGTGCAGAGGTGGGCAAACAACTAAAACTTCCTGCTGGAGTTTACAGTAGGTAAACACAAAGGAGACGAAGAGAACTGAAAAATAGATTCGTACAGCCAAATACATGTAGGTAGCAGGCTCCAGAGGGGACAAATGGACTCATTGATCGTACAGCCAAATACATGTAGGTAGCAGCCCCAGAGGGGACAAATGGACTGATCGATCGTACAGCCAAATATATGTAGGTAGCAGCACCAGAGGGGACAAATGGACTGATCGATCATACAGCCAAATACATGTAGGTAACAGCCCTAGAGGGGACAAATGGACTGATCGATCGTACAGCCAAATACATGTAGGTAGCAGCCCCAGAGGGGACAAATTGACTGATTGATCATACAGCCAAATACATGTAGTTAGCAGTCCCAGAGGGGACAAATGGACTGATCGATCGTACAGCCTAATACATGTAGGTAGCAGCCCCAGAGGGGACAAATGGACTGATCGATCGTACAGCCAAATATATGTAGGTAGCAGCACCAGAGGGGACAAATGGACTGATCGATCATACAGCCAAATACATGTAGGTAACAGCCCTAGAGGGGACAAATGGACTGATCGATCGTACAGCCAAATACATGTAGGTAGCAGCCCCAGAGGGGACAAATTGACTGATTGATCATACAGCCAAATACATGTAGTTAGCAGTCCCAGAGGGGACAAATGGACTGATCGATCGTACAGCCTAATACATGTAGGTAGCAGCCCCAGAGGGGACAAATGGACTGATCGATCGTACAGCCTAATACATGTAGATAGCAGCACCAGAGGGGACAAATGGACTGATCGATTGTACACACCAGAGGGGACAAATGGACTGATCGATCTTACAGCCTAATACATGTAGGTAGTAGCACCAGTGGGGACAAATGGACTGATTGATCGTACAGCCAATACATTTCATTTGTTCACATATTAGCAACTGAAAATTAACTCCCACCTCGTTCCAACACATGACAACTGTGACAGCAGGTAAGTGTGCAAAAAGATCAAACTACCACTACCCAAAAGACACAGTCAAGTGTTTGTTTTTTCAAAATGTATACATTTTCACTGTCTTATTTATCATTATTTTTAACTGCTTCATTTTCACCCTAGGTTTTTTTTTTAACTTAAGCATTAACTTTATTACATGATTAATCAGAATCAATATTCTTAAATATGAGCAATCTATTGTTTATGTTGTGTTTCCTTATATATATACAAAAGATAACAGATGTTATTTGTTTGATCTTAGTTTACCATAAACAAACAAAACCCTTCTAAGGTAGTCAGCTGCAGGTCCTTCATGGTTCCTCACAGCTTGCTCTGTGGCCAGGTTTCTTTTCATAGATGGAGGTAGAGTGGGTCTGTGTCTGTGGCTAAGGCATTGCAAATGCATGCCAGGGTACCGGGTTCGATGATTTGTGATTTTTGGTTTCTACTGTGGTACCGAGAGCTGACCGTTCAGATGCAATGACAAACTACTGAAAGTAAATTTTGCCTAGAAAAACCACAACTTCCCCCTCCCAAAAATACTGGGGTTGGTTTTGCAATGTCCTGTAAGGATATGCAACTAACAGGTGGAGTGAGCAGGTCTGCAGAAAGTGCTCTGGTGTTTGACATGCACACTGTGTGTACTGTACAGTCTTTATTATATGCTTGTGGTAACTTGAGTTTATAGTGGACATTCTGAACCAACCCCAGCATCTGTTGTCCAGGTAATTTTATGTTTAGTAGTTTGCCATTGTTTTTGCCACACCTAATTTCAAAAGCAACTGATCACATGCAGCTAGAACTGAACCTGGATTTTCTTAATTGCAAAGCATATTTGCAACACCTACACCAGACATTGAGACACCCATGAAGATAATCCAAGTCATAATTCACACAATGAGTATTTTGTAGAAACTGTACATCTTTTTTAGTTTCCCATTTCTATGTAATATATTGCTTCTGTTTCAAACCTATTTTGTTGAAACTAGACTGCTCTCAGATTACTATTTGGATTTTATTTTTAACCTGCCTACGTATGATCTCAAGCATTAACTTTACTACACAATTATAATCAGACTCATTTTCTGAATTATTGATATTCTGTTGCTTATGTGTTTATTTTTATTTTCTTTATTTTTTTCTTTTTCAACAGTTGTATACAGTAGGCGTGTTGAGGTACTCTGGGTTATATCCCAACATAAAAGGTAACATTTGGGGGGAGGGAGGGGGGGGATCAAGATTCTGCCATTGGACAGTACAAACTGAGAAACTTTTTTTAAAAACATTTTAATAAGGTGAAGATAGGGCATGTTGAATTAAGAATTAACATCACAGCACTCGGGACACCTCCATAAGCGCTCCATATCCATCTTCAGCAGCAAATGAAGAGTTCAAATTTTTATTGCACCAGTAACCATCTGACTGTATATCCGTCTTTCCTTTCCCCTGAGTGCTGGGCAGATCCCCTTGAAGCGTCATTCTCCCTAAATCTAACGATCTATCTGTGCTTCCGGACTGTTCAATCGCTCTTAAACAGCTTTCACAGCATCCAGCTTGTCATACATCAGTTCACCACCAAGCTGTACAAACCAGGCCAGTCTGTCTATCTGCTAATTTCCCAGCACATCGACATGACCTAAAGAAAATATCCAAAGGATGCTAACTACCCGGGACCTCTGAAGTGATGCTTGCCACTCATATAGTAGATAGTGTAATTGGGTCTATCCACACCCTCTAGCATTTCTACCCTAAATGAGGCATCAGAATCCTCACCCCCCACCCAGCCACCCAAAACAGGGCCATGGAACCCAGATGGGAAGAAGTAATGATCATAGGATTAACCTAAATTCAAGGAAATATTTGCCTAACAACTACGTGAAATATGACATTAACAATGAGTAAGCTGACCTTTAGAGTAACTCTAATATGTTTGTTTGTTTGAGTATCCAGAAGCCATGATTTGTTAACCCTTAGGCTCGGTATTATGGATATCGCAACCTTTCAGCCTTGATTCCATTGTAAATACCTAAATCTGGGAGAAATGTGGCTTTTCTGCCTACCCCCGGGAGTGAACCCGGACCACAATGAGTTCGTCACCCGGTCACCGCGCAATCCGGTTTAGCCAACTACGCTAGAGAGCTGGGCTAACTCTAATATAAAACCATAAAAACCATTCTAAGTTGATTCTTTCAGTACCAACTATTTTATGAACTCATGTGCCAAAGAGTTGAGTTTCAAAAGAAAGAAATTCAGTAGTGATGATACGTGACAGAACTATTCAAACTAATACTTCAGCAGAAATGTTCATACATTTGTCTGTTATAGAAGACAGCACAAACATTATATTATCTTTAGAAGCACAAAGAAACAGAATGGACAGAAAGACATGATAGTGACGCTCTGGTAAAACAAGCAGTTGCTTCTGAGAGTGTTTCAATTTGTACTTCAGTTAAAAAGGATTTACTTATCCACTTCATTTATGTAATAGTTACTGTAGGATGCACCTGATGAGATACAGCGAAATAGCCTAGGCAATAAATTGTGCAATATGTTCTTTGTGTCTTCTTTATTCAAATATGATTTGTTGTTTGATGCCGAAACAGTTAATTACAACAATTATGTGAGACCCACCTTGAGTAAGATAGATCCTAGCAACTCATTTGGCACGAAGGTAGGCTTGCTTGATGAGACTTGGCTCTGCTGTACTGCATTGGATGAGGGACTACTCCCAGTGTTGCTTTCTGTACAGGGGAGTTTCATGCAAAAAATAACTTATGCATACACTTATACATAAACATTCTATGACAGAGATATGTGGCTAAATGGATGGAAGGATATGTGTATACGTGGAGCTGAGCTAAAGAATTCCCTGTGTGGCATCCGGGGCCCCATTGTGGGGGGGAAGAGCAGACCCACTGCCTCCGTAATAAGCATGTCATTATAGTCGACAAATGTGCGGCTTTCTTCCAAGTTGCAATGCATCTGCCTGAGCGGCAAGAAACCAACAATCTGCGTACAAATAAGTCAGGTCTTTTGTTAAACGGATGTGCAAGCAACACTAGTCCAGAGGTTTTACGAAAGAAAAAGAAAACAAATTTTATTCTTGTACAAATTTAAATAAATAAGTCTCTCATTCTGACCATTCTGCACTTGTGTCCACGTTCTGCAGGCTTTGCTTTGTTCAATTTATGTTTGTTTTCTGTCGGTGGAGATCCGAAATGAAGTTCTGCTCAGCTATTGCCACGTTCTTCATCATATTTTACGGCATGGAGTTAAAAACTCATGATATAGGAATGCCATTTACTATATTTTTCCATATTTGCCAAATTACCCACACATAAAAACAAACAGGAAAACAAAAAAGGGAAATAAAGGCCTACCATTGTTGCGTAAGACGCAGCCTATTTTGAGAACAAAAAAATGTGTCTTATACATTAACAAATATGGTAGGTCAGCATTTACTATGAAATAGAGATGTAAGCAATGAAATGATACAGGATATGAGGTGTATTTGTGGGAACAGAATATCATAGGCCACATTGCATGAAGGAGGGAAATCAGGAAGGAAATAGGCATAACAGAGAAACTGACAGCAGAAAGGTTAACAGCTGAGCATTTAAAGAAAAATGCATGCAATGTCATATACGGTTTTGAAATCCCACGCTCTAACTATCAAAGAAATGTCTTAAATAACATCAGTGGGTCTTGCTAGCCACACTTGCAGTTGCCATGGAGTATGATTGCCATGCTTTCCTACAGTACAATGTAACTGTTTTCTCCAGAAGGAAAAATAGAGTGCCAGAAACAAAGATCTTGTGAGATGGCAAAACAAGAACCTCCGTTTGTAGCATAGCATATGATAATGAATGAATTTAAGAAGAAGTTGACTACTAATAAAATATGTATTCTAGCAATAGAATATTCTTTTAAGTCATCCAAAATGTGTTGCAGACATGTTCTCTACACACAGTAAAGAGATTCCAGGTCTCAACAGTGGACATTGTCGTGGACCAGTGAAAGACATGATCCCCACCATAGCATTCACAGAGGCCTGTGGCCTTCTTTTCCTAGCAGAGAGAATAAAAATTGAGAAACAAAGAATGAAATGGTTTGCCCATCTGATGAAACCAACGATGCCAGCAGCAAGAGCGTACAACCTGAAAACAGACACTTCAAGAGGCAGGAGAAGACCGAGAAGATGGAGTGAAGGAGTCACTGACACCATGACTCTGTATAACATTACGGCATATCAAGCAACTAAGCTCCCCGTGTGGGTTCCCGGACCCCATTGTGGGGAAACCATGAATAGACACACTGCCTACCCAAAAGCATGTCGTAAGAGTCGACTAATTGGGGAGCTTCCTTTGAAGTCAGAATGCATCTGTAGAACTGATGCACACGCAACACTGAGGTTCTGGAGCAGGACTGCAGTTCAGAAGTGGACAAACAACCAGAAATTTCCACCAGAGTGTACAGCTGGTGAACTCAAAGAAATAGAAGCAACTGAGCGCGCCTTCCCCTAATGACACCCCACTCCAAGACATGGAGTCGTACACCTGTTTGGGCAGTAATGTAGATAAAGATGGAGAAACTGATAGAGATATTAAAATAGGAATAAAAAAGGCAAGAGGAGCTTTCATTGCACTAGGGAATTTGTGGAGGTCAAAACAAATTAAAAGAAATACTAAACTAAAAGTTTTTAATTCTAATGTCAAATCAGTGCTTTTGTATGGGGTAGAAACATGTAGAACAACTACGGCAATTACTAATAAACTACAAACATTCATTAACCGGTGTCTGCGCAGAATAGAAGGAATTAAATGGTATGATAGAATAACTAATGTGGAACTTTGGGAGAGAACTAAACAGGCTCCAGTGGATCAGGAGGTGAGGAAAAGACGCTGGCGTTGGATAGGACACACACTGAGAAAACAGGAGAACGGCATAACTAGAATGTCTTTGCATTGGTTCCCACAGGGGCATAGGAATAAAGGAAAGCCAAAAAACACATGGAGAAGAGAGCTGGAGAATGAAGTTAGAAAGATAAGGAGGACATGGAGAGAGCTCCATGCAATGGCGAAGGATAGAACGACTTAGCGTGAGTTGGTTGAGGGCCTATGCTCCATTGGGGGGTAGAAAGGCAGAAAAAGAAGAGCGCGCCCTGGCTCGTCTACTGATCATCTGATGAACTGTGGCGCCTAGCGGCATAAGCAGATATTGACAAAAGAAGAAGAGAAAATAAAGGAACCAGAAGAAGAAAAATTTGACACACAACCACCGAGAAAAAGAAGACGAAGAAGCTCCTCACCTGTTTTAACTTCTTGGGGCACACCGCCACATTTACCAGAGCCGGTAGTGTTGCTTTCGTTGTTGCTGCTGCTGGTGTTGTATGCCTGGGATGTTGGCGGCGTGTTCATATCCGCACTGACGTTCTCGGATATCACCTGCGCCAGATCCTCCAAGAGTAAGTTGCTATCTGTCTGCAGGGCTGGGGTTGTTAATCCAGGGTTGGCATATTTCTCATGAGATGATAAGCGGTTGGTTTTATTTCTGTAGAAATGAGAAGATAAACATAAGGTTATTTTTTAAATGTATGGTTCTGATGATACAATGAAGAAAAGCCTCTTAACAATCTTTATGGTGATATGATTATGTTGGTCCCCATGTGCTTTAAAGTATGTAGAATCGGTTTCAGATTTCAGAGTTCCCCCTGTGGGTTCCAGGAGCCCACAATTGGGGAAAACAAAATAAACCCATTGCCCCTTAACAAGCACGTTGTAAAGGTCGACTAATTAAGGGTGCTTCCTTCTGAGAGGCAAGGAAGCAACAGTATGCATACAAATTAAGCCAGACTTGTAGCATGAATGTGTACACAAAACTCAGGTTCCAATTACTGTCTTAATATACCACTTTTGCATTGCAGGAGGGGGGGGGGGGGGGGGTTGTGTGTGTTTGAGCCTTGAGGTTTTACGGCTGCACGATTAATGCTGTCGCAACCCGCCTTACCAAGGATAAAACATGGGTCTCCCGCTTGAGAGTCCAATGTTCAAACCATTGGCCAGCCGCTCCTCCATATAGTGATAACCAGACGTAATGTGTATTAAATGTGAATAGTGGGTTATCAGTATTAGAAGGTGAGTCGAAGCCAGAAATGCACAGGTATAACGGTTTCTGTTATTTCACCACATCTGAGGGCCCTTGAGATTTGGTAGGGAAATCTCTTGTATGCCCCATAGTTTAGGGAGATTAGGCTTAGTAGTAGTCACTATTTATTGAACACTAGCCCTAACTTTAACAACAGTATACTATGGGACGTTTTGGGAGATTTTCCTACCAAATCTTGAGGGCACCAAGATGTGGTGAACTAACAAAAAAGAACCTAATGGTCTTTTAGGAACTTTTATTTGGGAATAGGACAAATTTAAAAGAAAAATACAGACTGACAGACTGCGTTAAAATGATAAAAGGAAATAAGAATAGTGACAAAAATGCACATTTTTTGGTACTAAAAATGTTCAGGCCTGACTCTGAAAACATTAATTTTAGTAACTGACATCGCCACTAAAAATTAGGAACATATAATCCGAGAATTATGGCTAACTTAAGTAATTTAGGAAAACCTTACCATATAAGAGTAATAAATAATAAGGCGTCTCATTAAATTCGTATCATTTCCTTCAGGTTTAACAAGGAGAGGAAAAAAACCGCCTGTCTAGCTAGACCAATAAGCAGAAGTTAGGTTACAATATAATTAACGGAAACCTTGCTATATAAGGCACTTCGGAAAAACTAACTCGTTTCATCATCACTACCGGGTTGTTTTTTTTTTACAGGGACAAGAAAAATTTACACAACCAGCCAGTCAGATTGAGTAAAGAAGCCGACGCCTAGCGTTATATACAAATATAGCTAATTTAATCACAATGGAATGAACAGTACCTTGCGATATAAGGCATTTCGGTGAACCTGGATTCATCTCCTCGAGGTTTAATAACAAAAACAAAACAAAAACAGAGAACGTTGACTGCCAGGCAAGAGCTGGTGGCTACCCAAAAACAGAAATGTTGGCGTTGTCGTTTTGTTTATACTGTCTGTGTTTCCGGTGACCTCATGTCTATCGTGGCAAAACCCGTTCCGTGTCTGCAATACTTCGCGTCCACAGGCTGTCAACTCGGGAGAAAAGTTCTGGTTGTTTGTGCACCTCTTAACTTTTGTTATGTTCTAGAACTTGAGTGTTGGGTACACAACTTTTTTACAAATCGATTTATCTGTAAGCAAACTGTTAGTTTCTTGCCTCTCAGGTGGATGCGATCCGACTTTGGAGAAAGCCACACAGTCGACTCTTGCGAGGAAGCCACACAGTCGACTCTTGCGACATGCTTTTGGGAGAGTCAGTGGGTCTATTTTTGTTACACTGTATATATTTTTATAATTTTTTGATTTTTTTAACAAAATATTTGAATACCGTAATGCAGACATTTTAGGGTCAGTTAATTATATATGTGTGCGTTGTGGATTTCTGCCGATGAAAGCTAATCGCAACAACTTCAATTGTGAGAAGGGGAAGCTGGGGTTAACTTCTCGTTTTGGTTTGTTATCTGTTCACGCTATTCGTACAGAACAAAGTGCCAATGCTATTATAACTGTTGTTATCGCTGATGCCGCTGCTGCTGTTTCTGCCGACGCTGCTACTGACACTAACGTAAAATAAATTACCCTAAGATGCATAAGTTGCCACCCATATTTTACAGACCAATCGGCACTACAACTACTGGTATTTCCACCACTGACATACACATTTGATCTTACTTGAAGTGCGAGTATCGTGCTCTATGCATTTAATACTATACGTGTGCATGCTACTGATTTGCTTTGTTGACACTGCAGCGTGTGCAAATTTTATGTGGGCATTCTGTGTGGTTACTGTTGGCACATGAGCGGGGCAACTATATAGGGACCCGTTTGCTGTGAAGTTTGAACCGATTACCTGATGACACGAAGCAGTTACTAGAATCAGTTGTACTTTATAACAGCTTTTACCGCCATGACAGGTAAGGTTACTATATTTACCGATGACAGTTCATCTATCTTGCTAGTGCGATGGTGAAATGTCATAACAGAGAGTTGCGACGTTTAGCCCAGGGCTCAAATACTCTAATGTTGTATGTAGTGAACTATCATATTAGATTAGTTAGCTACATTTTCCCCTATGACTTTACTGCAGAGCTATTCAACTGACGGCCCGCGCAACAAATCTGGCCGGCGGAGGCCTAGCAAGTGGCCAGCGGATGATTGCCAGCTGTAGTGAATTCATGATATTTCTATTATGGGGCACGCACCTCTGGCCTGTGGTGATCCTTATTCTAAAAATGTTGGCCCCTGAGTAAACTTAGTTGAGAAGCCCTGCTTCACAGGTTGATAGTGTGATTGGGACTACGAAATCAGATATGTCTGACAAGTCATTATCCTCCGCCTCAGAACAGAGCACAACCGATTACGTAACTACATGTCCACAAAATTCAAGATAGGTGTATCAGCCATGTGCACCCATGGAAAGGTGTCCCAGACAGCAGAGCATGTACTCCAGGACTGCATCGAATTTGACACATTAAGGTAAACCTTTTAGCCAGAAAGAACAACAGTGGAACTAAACTCTATGGACCACTGAATGAACTAACAACGAAAGTGAAATTTATACAAGAGACAAAACTGCTGATATAGACAACTTATTTCAGGCGAACGGAAGAAGAAGAAGAAGAAATGTCTGATAGGTTAGACTGATTCTAGTGTGCCTGTGAGCCCTCTTACCTGATACCTCTTACACTGTATAGACTACATACCCTGGGTGTTCTCAATAGAGCCGCGAGACAGAAAAACCATGCAGGAGCCACCCGTCGTTACATTAACCAGAACAGAATGGGAGTTGTTACGTAAAAATACTTGCCAGGAGGAGATCTGAGCACTTATGGTCATGTCTGACTTGCAGTGAGGATGAACTTTAAAATGAACAATGAACCTGACACCTTGTCTGCTTATTCTTCCCAAATCCACCTTGGCATTTGTTATGTCTCTATACTAGTTCAGTTTCCGAGACAAGGTGTGTTTACGAGCCAATGTTTATTAACTTTCATATCTTCCACGTTCTTCTTGGTCCATAGGATTCTAAGAATCTATCTATAGCAGCGTTTCTCAACCTATGGGTCACAACCCTTTTTTGTGTGTGTGTCGAATGACCCTTTCACGTGGGTCGCCAAAGATCATCACAAAACAAATATTCATTGAAGATATATAGTAGAGACGAAAATAAACGATGGTTTGGTGGGGGGGGGGGGGGGGGGGGGTTGGCCACAACATGAGGAACTGGATTAAAGGGTGGCCACAACATGAGAAACTGTAATAAAGGGTCACGGCATTAGGAAGTTTGAGAACCACTGATCTATAACATAGCTCAAAAGCACATATTTTCTTTCCTAATGATTAGTAATTGCACACATGATTGGTTATTATGAATTTATCTAGCATATGACACTTATTTTTTAAATGGTTAGACCCAAGTTCTGTCTTTATTCCATAGTTGTCGATTGGGCGGTATGACAGACGCAATCACTGCCTGGTTTGTGGATGTCACATTTACAAAAAAGTAGAAGAATATCCGAGTCTGAGTTACAAACCATCAGATGTTGTTCGTTTGATTTATTATTTGTACCAAAAGATGTTTTTAGCCTTGTCGGTATGCTGAATGTTAAATTAGGAATCGACACCATAGCACCAGGGACACTCCCATAAACACTGTCCCCATTCTCAGCAGCAAGTAAAGAGTTCCGATTCCGATGGCAACTGTAACTGATTTTACATCCGACTCGCCTTTCCCCAGTTGAGCGTCGGCCAGATCCCCTAGTAACTCCCTGAAGCGCCATTCTCCTCAGACCGTAACGATCTATCTGTGTCTCCTTCGCACTGTTCTCTTGCTCCCAAAGGGACCTTGGAAAATCGAGCCTGTCATACAACAATTCACGACCAAGTGGTGCAGAAACGGCTAGTCTGTCTGCCCGCTCATTTCCCACCACACCCGCATTACCTGGGAAAAAATATCAAAAGAATGCTAACTACCCGCGACCTCTGCAAGGAGCATGCCTGTCTCCAACTTTCTTAACATGCGCTGTAAGTAAAAATGAAAAAAAAAAAACGGAGAAATCGAAGGAATGTTACTGCAGCGATTCGTCTCTAAGAATTAATGCTCCAGCCACGTAAATTTTTTAACCTCTAAACAGCAGCATGTGTCACCTTAGCTGAAAATTTTGATTCCGTGATAACGGGTTTGGCCAGAGCTGTCAGCAAGGCCGTGAAACAATGTTTATCGTTTTTGTGGGCTGAGGGTGTGAAAAGGTTGAGAAACACTGGTCTAGTTGGTCATGCGTCTAAGTACGCATGCTCATGGAGCGTGGCAATGTCGTCACTCTCTCACTCTCCTC